TATTTTACAATCCTTTAGTATACATGTCGAAATCCTCTGCTTTTTCTATTTCTCCGTTTTTCAATTCCACGTTTGAAAGGAGCCCCTAAAATTGCTTAATTGTGACCGTGAGGAAAAAGTTCAGAAAACTCAGCGGTAAGAAGTTATTACTAAAACATTTTTTTTCATATATAATACACAGAAATCGATGCAGTCTCTTCCTCTCTTGCATCATATTAAGTTAAGAAGTTGCTAAATTGTTAAAATCGATGGAAAAATATGGTGCCTTTGTCCTGTAGCTAGTGCTCTGCCTACATTCCTTGTATGCGAATAAATACATCAAGTCGATCGTAGACTACATATACAAACATGAATGGAAACATTGGCTGTGTACGGCTGCAAGAAACTAGTCAAAATTAACCAGCTAGCTTCCAGATAGAACAAACGCTGCAAGAAACAGGTCACCTGATCAACGCATCAAGCTTGCTACTATCGTGACTAAAGTTAATTAAAAATGTATGAATAAATTAATTAAACGTACGTTACACAGTTAATTAATTTAATTATATTAGTTTGAATGGTTTAATTTGGCGTCAGTGGCAAGTACAATACTTCTGGTACGTAGCCACATATATATTTTTATAATACTTTTGACAAAAACTGGAGCCTCTCATATCGATGGATCACATTGGAGCTGCTCCAAGGAGAAAGCTACGTTAGTACAGCTTTTGTAAATCACTACCATGTTTTCTGGATCCTGCATGGATCCATCCAACAGTTTCTCCTAAATATCAGAATAAAGTTGAAGTAACTGCTTTGCTGCCGTCCAAGATATATTGCAAAGGACAAAAGGTTCAGGAGCAATGCAAGACAAAAAAATGTGATCTCAACTGTATGTACATCCATATATATGCCTGGAGTTCACTTGACCTGTAAAGTAGTAGTACCAAATTCTGTTGCTGACCAATTCATTTTAATTATCTTAATTCCTTGCATAAAAGAATAAATAATTCAGCAGATGCTTGCTAAGGAATTAATGTGTAATATATATAAGCACAACTAATAAAGCAATGGATACTTTCAACCAAAAAAAGTGGTTTAATTTGTCTATAGTAGTTCTGTGGAAATGGAGAACTTAAGAAAGGACAAAAAGGAAATAACCACTTTTGGATCTATTTGATGCATGGTATTTCTTCAACTCCAGGGGTATTTTTGATATATGTATATATTTAGGGTATAAGCTAAATATGTACGCATATTCTCCATATGAAAGAGTGCAGTACTATTTAGCAGCATTCTCCATATGGATGGTTAGTACTGACATTGAAGAATTTTGTAGCTAGGACTCCATGTTTTTTTTTATCAGTGATACAGTTGTACGTTGTCAATTATTGATCATGAATTCCAGTTTGATGTGACAATTAATTTGATGATTAGTATAACTAGAAATTAACGATGGATCAATGGACACCTGGCCCATAATTAATTAATTAAATTGTGATAAGATTGTGTGTTTGAGTCACAAAAAACTTTAAGTGGTGAATTTGAGAGGTGTGGTCAAGCATGCAAGTTTCTTACCTAGCCAGGGTGCCGTCTTTTGGCTTCCACGCATCCATCTATAGATCTCAGATGCACATTATATTCTCTGTGTGTATGGGAGAGAGAGAGAGAGAGAAAGAAGGGTTTGCTTGGTACACACTCTCCTGATCAATCAGGCCATACTGTACAGTGATCACACAGTCCATGCATGCCAGCTCTAGTGCTGCATCTACCTAGAAGCTAGCATATGCTTTGGTTCAAACTGTGCACACATCATTCACACATATTTACATGTTACTATATCTTACCCAAGGAAGAGGTACTCTTTGCTGTAATAACACATGTGATTATGGAAAAACTGATAAAATCATTGTCCATACATATATTTATGTATGACATGTTTGAAAATTGGGTTTGAGAAGTATTATCTCACTCTTTAAAGGATAAGTTTTAACCTCCACCGCACCCCATATTATCCCGACCCTGCATCTATTTTTATTTCACAATCACATCCTTTGTAACCCATTATCTTGATATCTCATACATATTATACATGTATTATATGTATATGAGAAAATCTTTCATATAAAAATTAAACTACTGCATGATTATATATACGTGTTACGCGTATATGATCTTGGTCAAATGTAACCTCAAGGAAACATAAAGTTTTGTAAGTCGTAACTGCAGGCGGTGAAGTGTCTAGAGCTGATGGCTGGCGGTGATTCCCATGCATGTCTGGGCATGCATGGATCGATCCATCGATGCCTCGAAATTCACGCAAGCTCTGCAACGGTTTCCGGATACAGATGGTCATTGTCGTGTCCTTTTTATTTTTCTCTTTCATTTGCTTTAATTTTCTTCTCTCTGTTTGGCTTAACATGTGTGGTACGTACACTTTGTAACGGATGTGAGATGAGCAATGCAGTAAGCTTAAGGTAGCTAGCGCGTTGCAGAATGCAGATCAGAGCCACACATTTACTTTACTTCTCACCTGATCGATCGATCACTGAATGAAGAGAGTCCAAAGCTAGGCAGCAGTTCATAACATGCATACGTTGACAACGTACGGACGCAGCTGGCAGCTAGCTATATATTTAATTAAGCCTTCATACTCAAAGAATAACTTTTTGGAGCTCTTGAATTTCTATCCTTGCGTTAGCTAGATAGATACGTCGAAAAAAATAACTGCACTTTTTTAGTGATACAATCCAAAGCCAGCAAAAAATAATAAATTATATACGCTATTTATGATGGTAATATATTACTGATACATAATCCAGCCCATTTTGCTCTCCATCTAACTTTAGATGTTCATATCAACCACTTCGGTTATATTGCGGAAATTTTGATTGAATGTATATATGTGGCATTATAGATTATATCTATGTCTGAAAAATCATATCACCACATATTGGTTATAATGTGCGAAAATATAGAACAAAAAACTGATATTGTCGATTAGAGGATGCCACCTACAAGCTATAGTTTTACATATATTATTTTATGCTGTCTACTAAAAGAACAATAAAACCATTTACTTACACCACTGCATTCAAACAGTAAATTGGAGAAGTTGGCTTTCTACCTTGACACTACTAGTCCTTGCTAAGATAAAAGTAAAACAACATTACCATCTTATATCAAATCTACTAATTAAACCACTCCATATTAGATGAAATCCATGTTAAAGAGTCTATATCTATGCAGTCGCTCTCATGATATGTCATTATATCTTGATCTATCTATGTTAATTTAGAAGTTTACACCCACAATCGCTCTAATTTTATAGGACCATCGATGATATATAATATTTTTTTCATCAGGAATGAAATAGATTACGTACACAGTTACATTACGACTCATGACACTAGAACTATATCTATGTTTAGAAGTTTATCTAGATATGGCATGATTAATAGAATGTATTTGTGTTAGAGCTCTAAGTTTAGAATATGTGACCGATAAACCTACCGTTTTATTCTTTTTAACTACATGTTTTGCAAAAGATTAAATTGTTATCTTACAATTCATATAGCACTAGCATTATGATCTGGTGTATCATATATGTCATTATCCATCTATGTTTAGAAGTTTATATCCACGGCTCTAATTATGTGGAACGATTAAATGATGATATATATAGTTGTTAAGAGGTATGGAATAGATTAAATAATTAGTTACGTTACGATTCGTAACACTAGTGCTATCTATATTTAGAAGTTTACATCCACAATCGCTCTAATTATGTGGGATTATTAAACGATGAATATATTTTTCTGTGAGGAATGAATTGAAATAGATTAAATAGTTACGTTACGATTCGTAACATTAGTTCTATCTATGTTTAGAAGTTTATCTGGACAATCACCATCATGTCAGTGTGCCAATACGCTAAACTTAGAAGATGCCTCCGATAATCGTAGCATTAGTATTATTTGGGGAATGAATTAAAAAATATAAATAATGATATATTACAATTGATAATCTATGTTTAGAAACTTTTGTCGGTTACTCGCTCAAATTGTATGGGGTAATAAATCGGTGAAGTATACTTTTATACTGAATGGACAAGATAAGCTACCATTGATAGCATTAGCGGTTCTATTTGGTATATTATCCCGATTATCCACCCTCAATTTGTGCTAAAATAAGATTTTTACATCATCCTAGTCAATATTTGGGGTTACCCTGTCTGCATTATAATTTATTTTTGTGCTTAACTATAATATATACATACACTATAATTTATCTAAATAAAAGTTCTGGTATGATTAAAAAAACTAACAATTTTGTGTGTGGCGTATTGAGTGGAAGAATGTCATGTTAGGATCACATGGGAGAGAGTGCATGCGACGAGATCATCCTTGTTGGTCTGTGCAGGTGGTGTGAAATGTGATCAATATATATGGTGGTGACAGAGAGAGAAACTAACCCAAAAAAACAAAAAAAGAGAGATGAGAGCGAATGGATGGATGCAATTGGCATTAATTTTCGGTCTTTGCTGTTCTCCCCCAGCCAGGCCAGTTTGCTTCACGCAATATTCTAACCCTTTGAGAAAGAGAAGTGTACTTGTTGCCAAGGCCAATTGCAAGCATTTGCCTTGGCTTTAAAGTCTCATCAATACAACGGCACCAAAAAGAAAACACAGAGATAGAAAACCACCTAGTAGCTGATATACATTTATATATGACCTAAATAAAAAAATTCCATTAATATGTATAATTCCAGCAACAACATAAAGAAATAAAAATGCATTTAAGAAAACATAGAAAGAAATAAAAATAAAGTAAATAAAGCTAGCTAGGCCCAAAATTGGCAGTAATTAAGTAGGGACTAGTATAGAAATATATGGATATATACACCAGCCTCCACCAATGGGATTGCAAACAGCCTACTTATCACTTTGCTGCTGTATTTACGCTTTTGCCCTTCTTCCCTCCTATATGTACAGCCGCCCCCACCTCATTCCTCCATTCTTACTCCACACACACACTCTCTCTCTCTCTACCATTTGTGAGAAAGAAAATCGATTCAGTTCTAGAGAGAGAAACAAACAATTTTCGCTGTCTATCTCTCTCTTGCTACTAGTCGGTCGATCTTGAGTTAGTTTTAACCCTACACAAGCCAAGGTAACAACATCTAGCAGGTAGGAGAAGAGAGCTAGAGACTAGGTGGTGGGGGCTCATTCCAAGAATGAGCTCGTCGGTGGTTGTGAGCGCGAGCGGCAGCGGCAGCGGCGGCGGAGGAGGAGGAGGAGGTGGCGGCGCCGGAGGTGGAGGAGGAGGTGGGCCGTGCGGGGCGTGCAAGTTCTTGCGGCGGAAGTGCGTGCAGGGGTGCATCTTCGCGCCCTACTTCGACTCGGAGGCCGGGGCGGCGCACTTCGCGGCGGTGCACAAGGTGTTCGGCGCCAGCAACGTGTCCAAGCTGCTGCAGCAGATCCCGGCGCACCGCCGCCTCGACGCCGTCGTCACCATCTGCTACGAGGCCCAGGCCCGCCTCCGCGACCCCGTCTACGGCTGCGTCGCCCACATCTTCCACCTCCAACACCAGGTATATACTACTCATACTCACTCGATCTCCTCCTCCTCATCGTCGCCGTCGGTGGCGGCGAGTCATTTAGATGTTCGTCATGGTGGTTGTGCGATCGATCGAGCTTCTATTTTGGTTTTGGTTTTGGTTTTGGTTTCTTGGGTTTGATTTGGTTGGTTTTTGGAGGAAGGATGGATGTCTTTTTCTTGAAGAAGGCAAAGGAGTCCTTTTTTGGGGAGGAGAGAAGGCTAGCAAGCTAAGCAAGGGAGTTAATCTGGAGAAATGGACTTCTCTCTTTCTGTTACTACTCACTACTACTCAGGCCTACCAGTGATGATGTGCACATCTCATCATCCATCTCATCATTAAATCCCATCATCTACTCTCTCTCTTGTTCTTGCTTTCTCTTCTTTCATTCTTTCTCTGAATCTTCTGATAGATAGATTGATAGATAGATGCATGATGATATCCCCATTTATCACATCATTTTATATCATGCATCAGGTTGTTGTCCCCCCCCCCCCTCTCTCTCTCTTGCTCTGAAATCAAGGAGGGTATGCATACATGCTTGGATTTCACACCCACAAAAGAAAAATGGTAATTTAGCAAGCCCTAGCTAGGAATTAGGATGCATCAATCTCTAGTAGTTCTTGAAGCTGCAGCTAGTATAGCTCCCAACCATTTCTCCTCTTCCTTTTCTTTACTAATATGATCAGCATTTCATTAAGATTTTTTTGTATATAGTATAGCTACCTACATTTTCTCTTGATCTGATTATGCCAAGTACTAATTTTCTGTCCATTTTACTGATGATGATCTGGTTCAATTCCCCATGTGTATATGTACTCTCAGGTGGCAGGTCTCCAGTCCGAGCTGAACTACCTGCAAGGTCACCTCTCGACGATGGAGCTGCCGTCGCCGCCGCCCTACGTCGCCGGGCCGACCCTGGCGCCGCCACAGCCACAGCCACTGATGCCGATGACCGCCGCCGCCAACTTCAACTTCTCCGACCTGCCATCGTCGTCGGCGGCCAACATTCCGGTCACCGCCGACCTGTCCACCCTCTTTGACCCACTGCCGGCGGCGCAGCCGCAGTGGGGACTATACCAGCAGCAGCAACACCACCACCAGCAGCTGCATCATCACCCCTATGACCGGATGGGCGACGGCTCGTCGAGCAGCAGAGGCGGCGACGACGATGGCAGCGACGGCGGCGACTTGCAAGCGCTGGCGAGGGAGCTTCTTGACCGCCATGGACGGTCGTCGTCGAGCTCCAAGCTGGAGCCGCCACCTCACACACAGTGATCCTCCTCACTGTGTGTGATCATCAATTCAGCTTAGCTAGCTAGCTCATGGACTAATTGATCAGGTGTTAATCATTCATGAATGCATTGGTTGAGGCAAGAAGAGAATTTAATCCCAATGGTGAAATTTTTTTCACCAAATCCTCCATGTCGTTGAGGCGAAAAATCGAACGACGACGACGACGATGGCGAGGAAGACGATGATGGTGATGTTGGGGATGGAGATGGTAGGTAACAGGCATTGCCCGGTTTTCGCGTATCATCTTTGTTCTTGGGCTAGGGTGCAAGGGGTGCCCACTTGCACCATTTTATAATGCTTGGGAGTTTGCTCCAAAAGAGGAAGCTTGGGGATGAGTTCTTGTTAGCTTAGCTGTAGCCCTGATCACTGTTCCATTGCAACAGTTCTAATTGCAAAAAACAAAACCTGGTCTAATTTAGTTCAATATACAAAAAAAAAATCTTTGTCTCATCGCAGATTAATTACGGTTGTGTTTGAAGTTTGTTTGATTTCTGTTTCAAGGTTCTAACTGAACATCTGAAGTGAAGTGTAGTCAGTCTTAATTTGGGACTTTCTGATCTCTCTATGACAAATGAGCTTTTTTTTTTTGCCATAATATATACAACAGCTAGCAAGTAGCAAAATGAGCATTTTTGGGGTTAATGGTAACTGAACATATATGTATGGTGGCAACTGAATAAAGTGTGAACATATGTGAGTACTTGGAGGCTAGAGCCAGGTGTTGGTTTCCTTTTACTTGCTTCGTGCTTCTACAACTACAATAATGCAAGTATTCATATGGTGCAACCTTAGTCTTAGATTCAGTCTGGCTAGCTAGCTAGCTATTTCTAATGGGACACAGTACATTTAAAACAAGCCTAATTAAACTAGTTTATTTCTCTATGAAGAGTCGTGGTATATCTGGGGCTAAATGATTGGCAGGGGATTATATTTTAGAGTTTGATATATAGATGAGTGAGAGACAGACAGGAAGCATAGCTTTGGTGGGACATCTTTGACTAAGACCATGCAGCATGCACACAACAATGTTTTCTCTCCTTATGTTTCTTGAAGTTATATCATATGCCCTTGTATTCAGGGACTCCTTTGTTATCAATTGTTGGAAAATGACAAGCGGTTGGGATATGAATAATATGATGCCATAGGAAAGTACATGTTTCAGTTTAGCTAGCTCTTTAATGTGTCCAAACCGCATTGAAAAGTTTCATGATTACTACTAGTCCATGTAGGTAACTAATTATTACCGTAATGAACATGCATATGCATATGAGTTAATTTTGGCATGTACTCTAAGCTAATTTAAGATGATGTTTCTGTGGCGACCGGCCATGCGTGCAAATACATGGTACTATATATGCATAATAATAGGGATACTGCTACTAGTTAAGTAAGTTAATTATGTGTCTCTACATTACTCTTTGATTCGTTAATTAATTAGACAGGTCTTTTTTTTCTTAAGGAAGATCGTCACTACCGTAAATTATCAAAGCAGGGTAAATTTGACATGTAACTATGGTAAGTTAGTAACTATTATAACTAGCTGGTACCTAGCATCAATAATATTCCTTGTAACAATATTATTTCTGCAACTTTTGCACAAGTAAGAATATAAACATTAATAGGAAACAAGTATTATTTGTACAAACTAAAGAATGTAATAATTAGTTGGATCATTAGTAATGCATTTAATTAGCTTTCTTAGAAATAAGAGCATTAATCAACAGTTGTCATATATGCAATGAATCGTGTCATTAATGTGTACATTTTGCGTGCAAGGATCGCAAAAGTTCCATATAGCTGTTACTATTCTTTGCAAATTTATCGTGCGTGATATCAAATGTATTGGATTCTCCTACTATTAGAATTGATACATAAGCGACACCATCACACATGAGAACGTCTTTTCTTAATATATATAAGCACAAGATATTAGCTAGATGCCAAATTAAATACTTGATTTCCAGCACTTCATAGATATTAGTTACCTTTCTCAAGTTTGGTGTGAAAAAAATGCATATCTATATATATTTGACAGTATTTTAGTAGAATAATGTGAGTAGCTAGCTGGAAAAGAATATATTTCTGCATGCTGCAAATATATGGTACCAACTGTTCAGTGCTACCCTGAACTGAAGTAAATGTCTTATTAATGAAGAGCCATCTTATGTTGTTTTAGAAATTCTATATGTAGTGTTGGCATTGACTTGATTTACACACTATAGTGTTATATATGCTTGTAGCTGCACAAAAGTAGCTTTTAGTTGCTGGCATGTCAATTTACCAAACAGAAAAAGAGACGTTCAATTTGTGGATGAAAAAAAAAGGAATATTTTTTAAAGACGCAAGTTTAACACAATTCAAAATGAAGCCTTTCGATGTTGAGTTTAAGTAATCTTTAATTTAAATATAAAAGAATAATGGTAGTCAGGGTTAACACTGCACAAAAAAGTGACCTTGGTCCTGGTCCTAATGAAGCGGTTTCCTTAAAACCTGCTAGTAACCACCTCACAGTTCTCAATGCTATGAAGAAATTAAAAAGTCGGTTCTAAATCAATTAAGGTAAATCATGGAAGAATATAGATGTCTTACGAAAGTAATCTGCCCCAATAAGCAATAGTACAGTGGTCAGTGGAGATCAGAGAAATAATTTTGTGATATGGAGTTTAAACATTGGGGTAGCGGAATTAAACTACTATTTGGTGTGAAATTATATTAAGTAGGTCAGAAGCATCCATACATAGTACTTCTTCTGTCCCAAAATATAAAGAGTTTCGGTTGAATGGGGGCATATCTAAGTATTGCGAGTTTGGACAGGCTACATCCCGCATGGAAAAAAATTGTTGTTTTTCATACCTTTTTGACAGGCGGGTGAGCCAACCACGTGAAAAAAGTTTTTTTTTCGTAGTGTATCCAGTAGACTGACATGTTAGCCCAATGGCGAAATCGGCCCTAGAGCAAATAACGTTGGAGGCAATATAATGGATCAAACAGAGATGGTGTAGCAGCTAGCCGTGTGGGGGCCAAGGGCTTTTGGAGGCGGCTATTGCAATTTCGGTTTGAAATTTCGGATCCCACCGGCAAATCAATATATCAACCAAAATTTTCGGGATTTCTCAAATTTTTGTTGCAGTTGGTACAAGTTTATTCAAATTCGGTCAAAATCTATCACAATTTCCAAAAAAAAAGGGGTCCAAAAAAGTACCGAAAATCATGAAATTTCATAAATTTTGGTCCTACCAAAATCGAAAGTGTAAACCCTGGTGAGAGGGTGCCAGAGAGACACTGCTCAAGGGATAACGTGGCATCTCAAAGTGTTAGACAATATATCCATCCATGATGCATGATGGTCAAACTACACTCAAATTAGTGAGATCAAGGATGCATTCACACCTGTGTGAGTGTGATATTATGTGTGTGTATTGTGGTATGTGTACGTGTGTACTAAAATTGTCTTGTTTGGACTGATGAGAAATGTATACTTAATATAAGTTGAGAATAAAAATTAGACTGTAATAATTTTTTTGTAGAAGGACTGTAATAATAATTGAGAGAAGAAAAGTATACTATAAAATAACTGCTCTATAAGACCTATTCTCCAACTTTACCCGCTATGACCAAAACAAAAATTTTCAGGATACCCAAAGCACCTCCCACGATGCCGGTAAGAGTTCTAAAATATATATACTATTAAAGATCTTCCTTGTAGATAGATTGAGGTTTCAGAAAGCTTTTAGATGCAACCATACTTTTCCGAAACCTGATTTATTTAGGTTGCCGAATATGGAGTATTTTCCAAATTTTCGGAAATATCTAATATATCAAGGGTGTATTCTCCTTCCATCATAACTATTTATTGACAAACTCCAAACAAAATTTTGGAATTTAAACAATAAATATAACTTAGGGTGTGTTTAGTTCCTGAAAAAAGTTGGAAGCTTAAATAAAGTTGGCAGTTCGAAAAAAAAAGTTGAAAGTTTATGTATGTAGAAAAGTTTTTGATGTGATATGATGTGATAGAAAGTTGGGAATAGGGAGAAACTAAACACGGGGCCTTGTACAATGCTTAGTTTTGAAACATAAAAATAATAATTGTTGTAATCTTAAACCTATTATTTTATTATCTTAAACAATACTCCCTCTATTTTTTTATAGATGGCGCCGTTGACTTTTGGATGCACGTTTGACCATTTATCTTATTTAAAAATTTGTGCAAATGCATAACATATACTCCCTCCGTTTCTAAATATTCGACGCCGTTGACTTTTTTAAATATGTTTGACCATTAGTCTTATTCAAAAAGTTTAAGTAATTATTAATTCTTTTCCTATTATTTGATTTATTGTTAAATATACGTATATGTATACATATAGTTTTACGTATTTCAAAAAAAGTTTAATAAGATGAACGGTCAAACATGTGGTTAAAAACTCAACGGTGTCAAAAATATTTAGAAACGGAGGGAGTACATCATGCTTAAAGTATTTTTCGTGATTAAACAACTTACAACAAAATAAATAGAAATTATGTAAAAAAGTTTTAATAAGATAAATGGTCAAACCTATATTCAAAAGTCAACAACGTGTTAGTATATCATTATAACGGTTGTAACATAAGAGATTAGCGTGAATTAATTGTGCCTCCTTGCTATTTAGTGAAAAAAATACAATTGGATGCACCTCTGATGTTTTTTTTTCAATGAATTTTTATATTCCATCCCTTCTTATTCAACTTTTCTTAAAGAATAATTTTGTTTCAGCATTTATTTAACTCGGCTGAGATAAAAATAATGAATCTGAAAAATAAATTTTCTTTCGATCCGCACTTGGCTCAACTTGGTTCACACAGTCACACTTAGCCCGAAAAAAGTCTACTTGACTCCCTCAAATATAGATCTAATCTGATACATAGTACCATTCAGCCGCAATACCGGATACCTCAACCCCCAAGTATAAAACAGAAAAACTACTCAACAGTATCCTGTACACACGGGATAACTACTACCACTAAATATCTAGCATCTTATCCTCTTCTTTATCTCTTCCCATTCCTGTCCCCCCCCTCTCTCTCTCTCTCTGACTACCACAACGATGGCGGCTAGCTGCACGGGATTGCACGTTGGGCGTGGAGGACGCTCGGCCCGCTCTCCTTCGCCGGCGTCGGGGAAGGCGGCGCCGCGCAGAGCTACTCCTGCCGACTCAAGAACACGCGGTGCGGCGGTGCAACGGCGTGCCGCCTCCCCATGGCGGCGGTGTTGCGCCACTGCTCGCATCCATTCCTTCGATACCTGTAGGTACCCCTCGCACTACCTTCCACTCTGCCTGATTCCTCCCCCCCCCCTCTCTCCCCGGTCGGCAATGCTTCACCGCCGGTTGAATTCCTTTTCTCTTTTTTTGGTAGATGATTTCCTTTGCTGATTTTTTTCTCCGGCTTATATGGATAGTATCGATTCCCCTGTCCTATCCTCTTGAATCTCTCCGATTCCACATGTACCAGGTACTACACACCATGCAGCTGGTACCATACTGGTACCAGGTACCAGCCTGTGATGTGCTACTCCGGTTGCAGAGGAGTGACGCCGGTGACGAGGTATCACGCACGCCTATGGTACGTGGTATCAGGCAGGGGCGGATCTAAGAGGGATTAATAGGAGGGTCTGAACAAACTATACAAAATTATAGGCCCTCTTCTAATGAATATATGACAGAAAAATTTAGTGAGGTCTTCATGAGGGATCTCATGGTTACAACACGGGTAGTGGGGGCTAGAGACCCCACAGACCCCACCATGGGCTAGAGACCCCACAGACCCCATGGTGGATCCACCACTGCTGATCCTTGATGGTGTTGTCGACGTGGCCAACTCCGCACAAAGCTCCTTCGTGGCGCCGACGCAATGGTGGGGTGGGGAGAGAACGTAGTGCTGGTCTCGTGAAGGAGATGAGGCGGCCCCCACCACTAGCCTCTCCTCGGGCCCCCTCTCCTCATAGGCTGTGGAGTCCTTGCGGCGACGCAGCTGACAAGGTCCTGAACTTGAGGGTAACGTACGAGCCTGGGGAGAAGATCTGGCCACCCTGGAGGAGCCAATCCTAGTGGAGAAGTCCCTGAGCTGCCTCGCCTTGCCCGCTGCATCCACCGCTCCCCGCGGCACCTCCATCAGCATCGCCGCCGCCTTCACTTACTGCTTGTTGGGGAAAAGATAGAGAAGGAAGAAGGGGGCTTATATGTGGACCTCACCTGTATTTTTGCCATCAATGTAGTGGACCAAGTCAATGTGTCACGTCAACAAAAACTACTATCAAAACCGCTGAGGGAGTCAAATTTCACTAGCTTTAATAATGAGGGCAGCTACACAACGGGATCCCGTTGCTACGGCATACTTTAAGTGACTTATCCCTTTCCTTTCTTCTGTATAGGTGAGATTTCACGTAGTGAACGTGTGCTCCCTTCTGGTACCTGGTACCAGTGGTGGATCCACCATGGGGTCTGTGGGGTTTCGAGCCCCTACTACCCCTGTTGTAACGATGAGGCCATTTCCAACCCAAAACATTAGACATAGTTTCCATAAACTCCACATCATCAAGAAACTAGTAGTAGACACCACTCTTCCAATGCAAACACCACTATTCTATACTAAAATTTAATGGTACTTATCTCACATGATGTCTTGGATGTTGTGTAGAAACCATGTCTCATGCAAGACATGATTTCCTTCTCTTTCCTCATTTATTCACTTGCCACGTTATTTTTCATCCTATGTAGCAGCGTATTTAATACTATGGACAACATCTTAGTCATTGGGTTGGGAATGGCCTAAGATCCCTCATGAAGGCCCCACTAAAATTTTCTGTCATATACTACCTTCATCTTGAAATATTTGATGCCATTGACTTTTTTAAAAATGTTTGACCGTTCATCTTATTCAAAAAAATTTAAGTAATTGTTAATTCTTTTTCTATCATTTGATTTATTATTAAATATACTTTTATGTATACATATAGTTTTACACATATCACAAAAGTTTCTGAATAAAACGAACGGTCAAACATGTTTAAAAAAGTCAACGGTGTTAAACATTTAGAGAAGGAGGAAGTATTCATTAGAAGAGGGACTATAATTTTATATAGTTTATTCTGATCCTCCTATTAATCCCTCCTGGATCCGCCCCTGTAATGAGCTACTACCGCCGACGCCGACGATGGAGGAGTGCGAGCTCATGTTGCTCGTCCAGGTCACCACATTCGCGTGCTGCAGCTTCGTCATCGGGTTCCGGTTCAGCCGCGCGGTGGCGGATGACCCGAAGTGGCGCAATCCATGGCTGTCATCGGCAACCTCGCCCACAGCGCGGATGGATTCGCCGCTGAGCTCGTGTGGGGCCGCGACGCGATCGCGAACCCTTGCCACCGCTGTCGTCAGCAGCCTCCCCGACCCACCGATGCCATCGACATCTCCGCCGACTACATCAACCACTTCAAGAGCCAGTACACACATGGCGGCCGTCGCCAGGTGCTCGGCGTTTGAGGTGTTGATCACCAAGACACCAAGGCGTGGCAGAGCCGGAGACGCGCGGCGGGGTTCGAGGCAGACACCACCACCATCAAGAAGAAGACAGGAAGAGGAAGAAAGAAACGAGGGAGAGAGAGAGAATGACATGTGGGCCACACAGGATGACTTAGCAAGATAGGCCGGATCAAGCGCCACATTAGTAAAACTGTTGAGAGAGTTAAATTATAAAGTTTTACTAATAGTTAGGGATCAAGATATCTGATATTACAGTTTAGGGTTATAAAGTTAGATTGGAGCTATATTGAGAGAGTAAAATTGGACTTATTTCCGCTTAGCCCTCTGCTTTTCCGCATGCATGGGATGGCCTGGATAAGTTGGCCCAAATCAACAGTGCCACCTAGCTCACTTTGTTTCTGGGCCATCTCGAATTCTTTTCTCTTTTTTTTTCTACTGAAATTTCGAATCATTTTCCTTATTAACTAAATTTATAATACATCAAAGTTAAAAAAAGAAACGTTTGTCTCTTGATTAAAAAAAAGAGAATTTTGTTGATAGTACAGCAGTAAGCAATAAAGTGCATCTGAATAATTAGTATCTCAAATTTCATCACTGTATTTGGGTCAAAAGAAATTCATCACTATAATAACTTACGATAAAGTTGTTGAATTTTTTATTCTCTAAGTCTACATTGGGAAACACGAGCAATAAACTTACGTATTTAAATATAAATATTGCACTGAAATGAGAAAAAAAAATCTTGATTGTCTGTTGTATATATAAGTAACTTGTGTTCTCGAAAAAAAGGGGGAAAATATACAAAACTGAACTCGGTTGCAGCATAAAACTGATATTGTTTGAACTGGGGCAACACATTACATTCCAAACTGTTAGCACACAGAGTATCCAAATACTTTACAATCAAAAACTTGACAGCAAACTCCAAACTTTTTTCAGGTTATCTGTACAGAGAACTAACCAACCACAACACAAGCTAGCGGTTAACTGAACCTTGGCAAGAGAAATCTCTTCACGCTAACAACATTACCTTCTCAATCTTCATCGAGGTAGCTAGGCAAATTTACAGTGAGGTTCCATGAGGTATAAGCAGTAACAGCAACCCAAAAAAATCCAGGGCAAAGGATGGTTCTTAGTACTGACGGCTGACAACCACACTGAATATGGATACAGCTAAAATCTCAAGCAAAAACTACTAGAATCTGGTAAGTGCAGGCATCATCTACATAATACACAAATAGGTGGTAGGTTTTGTTGGCAAAAATATACACCTGCAGTGCTTGCCACGACAAGCAAAACAAGCTCAAAAGTCGGTTAGTATTCGCTCTTGCTCTTCGAAAATAACCGACTGAAACCTCGGCTCTGTTTCTCTGTGAACTGGTTAGTAAATGAGGAAGAGGAAGAAGACCTTGATCTGTGCTTTGGACGCTTGGAGTTGTTTGGAGAAGCGAAGTAAGTGTTTCCATCAAGATTGGAGGGGCTTTTGTGTGTTCTATATCCATTTAGCGGAGATACGTTTCCTGTTCCCGGTGCACTTGAGAATGTGTGATCTGTATCAAATTGACCTGACAGCTTCTTAAAATGCAAGCCTTGGGTTGTTCTAGCTTGATCTTCAGAAAACACCCCCACAGGTTGTTGGTTTAACACAGAACCCAGTGGTTCTGCTGGAGGGGGGCGAAGAGTCTGCAGCTGACGGCCAAGAAGCAATATTGTCTCCTGGCATTCTGCAAGCTTCTCTGCTGCTGCTGCGATCTCTTTGTCCTGCCATTATTTTAACCAAGAATATATTATGGAATACACAACATGACCAGAAAAAAAATAATGTTTAAAAGAAAGAATTTGAAGGACACTGAAGCGTTTATTGTCCAGGAAGTATTTATTCGGAGAGCACAAGGGAATAAATGTGTAATTCATGTGTTTGGCACTATATGAGCTGATATAGTATAAGAGATTATCACAGATTTCTAAGAACCAATTCTACGAAACTATAGATTTGGGTGCAATGTTTTGTGCATAACTATAGATTTAGAGCCCATGCAACAAGCAATTGGTCTTGGCACTATTTGGCACCTTCTAAGTTTTCACCAATTTGTTGAAATGTTGGCTTGTGCATAGCAGGCTGCTGACACAGACACACGCATGTCATAAGTATTGGGCACATAGATCAGCTAAAAAGGGTCTAATGTTGCCTCTCATCACTCAACACCATAGACACACATGGACACTTTTCTATAGGCTGTTGGATGCACTGGGACGCATGATTTGAGGCTGTCAGTGGCCAGGTCTATTAGAACCAATTGCAACTTTAACAAGGAATATTAAAGTTCAGAGAAATGAGCGTTAATAGTTATGCCTGTACATTTATGAAATTTATTCCATATTTAATTTTTGGGGAATACGCAAAAGACTCGCGTATCTTTGTATTGAGAAGGAAGTTTCAGCAGTACAAGGTCCCCCTAACTGCAAGCAGCCAGCTCGCTACATAGGTGAATTTCTCGTGGTATCAATGCTCGACCAGCTTATTCTATATTTAATGAAAGAAGCTGGAGTAAACAAACTACATAGGTTTATAATCAGTTACGAACATGAAGTTTAGGCTTAGTAATTTTTACCTGCTTTATTTTAACACCTGCATCCTCATCTACAGATGAAGTATTCTTCTCATTCTCATACCTTCATGACATAAACAAAGTCAACGAAGAATCTGTTAAACATGCAACAAACTAAAGGAAACAAGATGATAAAATAGTCTATCTAAGTCCTTTCAACAAAGAAAAACTAAGGAAATACCAAAATGGAAAGACAGGTATTTCACCTTTCAATCTTCTCCTTAAGATCTCTGTACTTCGCCAAATCGTCCTGATGGTTTTGTCTTTCATCAGCAAGTTCAGTTCTCAAAGTATTTATTTGTCTATGCATAACTTCTATTTCACTTTCTAATTTCAACTTGTGTAACTCAAGTGATTTGTATGATTCAGCCATACACTTCAGCTGTGTCTCAGTCAAGCTATTCGATTTCTCGCATGCAGATAACTTTGACGTAAGCTCTTCCATGTTTTTCTCCATCAGACTAAACTCAAGCTTTCTACATTCGATAGTTTCATTGCACTTTGCTAATTCCATCTCCAATTTCCTCTTCTCCGATTTCAGTTGTTCATATTCCTCCATTGAGCACATCTGCACTGTGGTTTTGACAACAAATGCATCCCTAGAACCCTCAAAGTCAGGATCAGAAGACGAATGAGGCGCAAGTGAACAAATATCAGCAAGGCTATCTTTAATTGGCTCATGATGCACTTTGTTTTCCAATAAGGTCACTTTATCAACATAGTCCAGATTATTGCTCTCGGTTTCAGTGATGCTGTCTCTCGGCAATGTGAGTTTAATAGCAGAATTTCCTGCCAAAATTTCCGCTAATGCAATCACCATTTCGGCAAGAGCATTTTCGTTTAGCACAACTTTGTCAGCTATAGTGGAGAACTTTTCTATTTTCTCAAGGATTGTGTTTTGGTGGGAACTTTTACCTTGGACCTCAGATAGTTGTCTTTTAAATGGCTGGAAAAAATCAAGAATTTCCAAAATAGCATGTCTTAGACCATGATCCACATCCCTCAGGTTCTTGGATTGCTTTGTCAAAGATCCATTATCAGCAAGTCCATTCATGTTATCAGGCTGATTCTTTTTTGCACTCACTGATTCTGCTTCTTCCTTGATATCTCTTAGGATATTTCTGATACCCTCTAGGACCTTGCCAACATTGTTCTGTGGTGAATGAGAACCTAAGAGAGAAGAAATTCTTGAGTGCAATTTTGAAAGTGGGGAGTTCTCAGGCAGATGCTCACTGCTGGATGGTGTATCTGGGAACTGCGAGGATGGCCATGAATCTCTATCACTTTCCCGTTTAGTGATGGTAGTGAGAGTTGTGTGAACTTTAGTGGCCTTCTTCTTGTCAATAAAGCTTCCACATTCTTTTCCTTCAGGAGATAAACACGCCAACCTCTCCATCTCTAGAAAGTCATCCATGAGTACCATCTGATTGGAATTTTCTGTCAAACTGCCCTTACCTCCATTATCTTTCTTGATGTGTGAGAGCTCAGATATCAAAGCATTGGCCCAAGATTCGGCACAACTTGTTGCATCATCAACTCCGTCTTCGGACATGGAAGTCAGACTTGGTGGGTTACTTCCATTCAGGCTCAGTGCACCATCATGGTGAACATCAAGGTTTGAATTTGTTGGATTCTTATACTGCCTAGCACTCACCATATGAACATCCATGCTGCGGAGCTTGCCTGCTGTCTTAGCACATGTGTTTCTTGACACCTGCAACTCATTATTACGCTTTGACAGCGCCTCTTTTAACATCTTTGTTTCATCCTCCATCGATAACAAGCGTGCAGTCAGAAATTCATTCTCTTTCTGCATGTGCTGCAAGTTTTCAAGAGAATTATCAGGGGATGGTGACAAAGGATGATGGAAATTAGAACTCCTTGAAGGGGAGCGTCGCAATCTGTTATCAGCATGGTCTCTGCCCCAGCTATCCACTTCCAGCTTCATTTGAGCTAATGCAGCTGGCCCGGGTAACTTTTTCCGAACAAGACCACGTAACCTTTGGCACTCCGCTTCCAGTTTTGATATTTTCTTGACATCCTCTACATGTTGCTTGGTTGCTACATCAGCTGAACGCACACTCATGTTCTTTTCTTCATTGCGAATTTCAAATTCTTTGGAAAGAACATGTAGTTCATACTTCAATGAACTTATCTCTTTTTCACCAGATTGAATAGTGCCTTTCAACACTTCGATCTGAGATTCTGCTTGCTCTTTTTCCCCACCAACCTTCATCATTAAGTGTTCCCGCTCTTCAAGAGATCTTGAGAGTGCGTCATTCTCAGCACCTGCTCTAATAAGCTCATGTTCAAAAGAAGCTAATTTTGCTTCTAGTTCGGCCTTCATCATCTCCCACTGCTTGGTTTTTGCAAAGACAACATCTTGCAGCTTTTGCTCGCTTTCCTCCTTCACTGTCCTCACTTGCTTCATACATTCCTTGAGAGCACCATCCAGATGGGCAGCTCTTTCCTCAGCGGCTAGCTTAGATAATGTAACAGTTTCTAGTTGATGTTTCAACGCCAAGGCCTCTGCTTCAGCTTTCTCCCAACCTACAATGATGGTACACGCATTAATTTACAAAATGCTCCTGGAGAAAATTCAGTCTTACTACTTTTATTATGGGAGTCTTACTACTAGATTACTAGTTATGGTTACTACAGATTTTATTGCATCAAATAAAATGTTATGTTGCACACCTCCAGTAGTTACTAAGGTATATAATAGAAATGACCAAGTTCAAGATCCTGGGGAGAAATCATGATACAGTACAATTTACTCAATAGTCTATCCAACAAAAAAAAAAGTAAAGAATAGCAGCAATCAGCTTCAAACCTGATACAGCCTCTTCTGCCACTTTGACATGCTGCTTTACTAGGCTATCTTTGGTAGTAATATCTGATTGTGCTGCAGATAGTTTTTCATTCAACACATTCACCTTATCACATAGAATCTTCACTTGCTCTTCTGATTCAGTAAGATTTGTGTATCTTTCTGGTGAAATCTGCACAAATTTTGGTACTTGTTCATCCTGAAAAACAGGAAAATAGTTTAAGAAAAGGATAATCAATCAAGATGAGTATTTAACCACCATGTTGATCAAACAAACAGCATTAGTTTTTGACATATTAAATGAATGGATGTAATTGATGGCATTTAGCACTAACGATAAAATCAGTGTACCTTAAGTCTAACGAGTAAATGCACTGCCTGCTACTTAAAGGGTAACAGCAGGCTTGACCAAAAAGCAATTTTATGTTAGTTCACAATCTAAGGTACATGACACATTACCATAACAAAAGTGGTACATGACACAGACTTAAATTTGAGTACATCAGTTGGGTATCAGTATCACATAAAGTTAAAAATCAAATTGAAAAAGAGCATCTCTTAGTAAAGTTTGTGACTAGTTCCCTCTATTTTCCTATGGACAGGCAGGTGATGATTTGGTACTAATGCAGGACAAAGCTGTGTAACCATAGCATATTAATATGCAGAGATACTGAAATAGAAAACAAGTCAATATACTGGATAGCAAATAAAAACAAGCATAATTATTTGGGTTGATGCGCAATATATTCATTTCGGAAAAATAAAAGCATGAAAAGTATCAAGTAGATATATAACAAAGAAGCACAATTTTCCCAACAAAGCCACACACACCATGTGTAGTAGGATGCTTATCAATTTCACAAAGTACAGAGTATAAGGGAGCACAGTATAATTCTTTGGAAGAAAAAGGGCAGATTAAAGAAGAGCCATCAGTTGTATATATGTGTTTACAAAAGGATTCTTGTTAAAAAAAGTGAGTACAGTTGGCGAATAAATGAACCCTTTCATAGTAGCCACTGATGACCAGATTAAATAAAAGAATAAAAACAAAATATGTTGTTTAGATTTACGAAGATCATTGACTTAAAAAAAAGGAAGACAAGAAAGAAGCTATTTTTTTCTCATGAGTGATGCATAGACTGAATGAATCAGCATATCAACTGATCAAGATTGCAAGGAAGGAAAGCCAAAGAATGGACACAAACCTGCTCTGCTTGACCGGAACTCTTCAACACATCTCCAGCTGATGATTTATCAGAAGACTTCTTTTTCCAAGGCCAGCTTCTTCGATCCATCCCCCGCTATCTCTCTGATCAAGTATGTTCAATACCTTCAGCTAGCCAAACTAAAGAAAATGAAGATCTATCACATGATGGCGGCAAGATAACGATGCAGGATTCAGAAGGCTACAAAAGTAAGTAAAACTAACCTATCCAGTAACCAGCAACCAACTGTACAGAAAACAGAAACGAAGGAATAAACAACCAATGCAACTGACATATAAGTCCAAACAAGTTGGCAAGCACCAAACAAGCTACTATAATTTTAGGCGACTCGGATTCTACGGAAGACACCGCAGCAGGAAATCAATTTGCATATACAAGTCCTTCAGTCAAGACCTGGTTTATTGCTGGGCACGCATGGCATCCAATTCACTACCATCAAGACAAGGACATGCAGATAATCGACTCAACAACTTCTGCCTCGTCCACAAGCATACACCTTCAGACATAGGACAGATGACCTTGCAGGAGGAAGCACACGCATCCAAAGCAGATGTAATTAAACAAGTGGTTAATACTTTAGTCAAATTGCACCCACAATCATATAGTACGCCTATACATGACAACAATTAGCCACCTTCTTAAAGCAAAGTAACCCCCCCCCCCCCCCCCTAAAAACTGATCCTTAAAGCAAACACCATGAGCAATCAAACTGGCAATGCATCTGTCTGTCAATGTGTACTGATCCGCGGTTTGGTCACGCGGCACGGATCATTCATTTGTCACTAGTACACCAACACCACACTGTTCCTCCTAAACCCTGAAAGGCACACAGAGAATGTGGCCTTTAACAACAAAACAAGACAGGCATGTCACCATCATCCAGCCTACCTTAAATCAATTTCTCAATCGATTAGCAGCCACATTGATCCGATCATCGCCACAAGATTGACAACGACACGAGCGTGCGGGCATTGTCGCGTCAATTAGCCGCAACCGCATCAAAGTATCAATTGTACAACCACACACACACTTTCATCAGATCATGGCAAGAACAGGCTGCATCCCACAGGGAAGGACACCATGGGTGCAGACGCAGCCAATGGAAGAGACCACAGCCACAGTTGCCGGGGGCCATGGCATGGATGAGTAAATGTAGAACATGCCCCCATGTGTTCCTCCTTGCTCCGGCCACTTTCTCCTGTACTTGCACCCTCCATTACTGGTGATTGCTCTGCTGGGGAGGCAATGCATCAATTGCCACCGGCAGCAGCAGCAGCAGGAAAGCGTAGGATTGGAGTAAAACCCGCATGTACGGCCGTCAATGGCAGGGATTAATGGCCATTTCTGGTTAATTCATTTGTCGATTTGGGGAGATTAACGGGATTTGGCGTTGCACTTGTATCTAACAATCGGAAGATTTTCAGTAAAATGGAGGGATTTCATCAAGGTTTTTGCGGAGCCAACAGCACGAAATTCTGATGAGACTGAATCAATTTCGCAGGAGAGAAAAAAAAGAATCGGCCAAGAAACTGACACAAGAAATCGCATAGGTGAATCAAGAAAAGAACCTCGAATTCAACTTCAAGAATCAAGATTGCTGCAACCCGCAGGCCGCAGCTAAACCTCCCCAAGAAACCGCGCAGCAAGAAGAGCAAAGAAAACCCCCCAAGAAACCATCAAACCATCAGCGAAGAACACGGAGAGCGATGCTTACCGCTTAGCAAGCGAGCTTGAAGAAGCTTCGAACCACCCACTCCGGGCGTGCGCGGCGGCGGCGGAATGCGGGATCCGATCGGTGTCGGTGGCGCCTCCTCCCGCTTTGCTTCGCGCGCACTCCTGCTCTACTCTGCTCTGCTCCCAATCTGGGGAGGAGGACGAGACGACGCACGCACACGCACGCACGCGCGACGGATCGATCAAGACTGGATTGGATTGGATTCCTTCACTCTCCTCCACCACCTTTACTCCTCCTCTCGCTTTACCCTTTTTGTCCACCTGTCTCCCACCCTTTCTTCTCCCTCTTCTCTCTAATCTAATCTCATCTCATCTCCCTAATGCCAATCAATCGATCAATCTTGGTGTGCAAATTGGCAATGCAATGCACCTTCCCCCACCCTCCCCATCTGTCTCCTCCTCAAGCTTCTTGTGCCTTCTCTATGAGTGATAAAATAGCTCAACAGCAGTGGATGGATCAATGGAGGAGGAGTGGGGCTCAGCGGCTCAAGGAAGGTGAGAGAGAAAAGCAAGGGGAAAGGTGGAGAGGGAAAGAGAGAGAGAGAGAGAATGCAAGGAAAAGTGGAGTGAATTGTTGTTGAAGCTCAATTGCTCATGATGATGGTGTGTGTGGCCACATGGTCACTGACTCTCACTGGCTTTGGCACTGCTGCTGCTGCTGCTGATGGTTGGTGATTATTGCTGGGTTAATTGCTTGTGGGTTTTACCTTTGGAATTTTGCTGTGGTATTAGGTGGTAATGCTGGTTGTGATCTCACTGTCCCATTGACATTGTCTGCGTGTAGCAGTTAAGTGTAAACAATATACGTTTCCATTGATACAGGAAAAAAAATACAATTCTACAATCTTTGAAGACTATAGTCAGAAAAAAGAACAAGGCAACCACACTATACGTCTACGTCTGATTCTACTGCTAAAAACAATAAGCTTGTTCAATAAAAGGGGAAGGAAGCCTCCACATGGAAGAAGTCGTGAATACATGACTGCATGTTTGCGTCCATCATAAGTACATAACTTTAGATTTTGATGACTGCAATTAGACACACTCGGGTGCAATAACACTTGAAATTTAGAAAGTTTAAGGCTTAGTTCTTGTTGGATTACTTACTTAAATTATTTAAATAAATTATCTACTACTCTACGCTTTGAAAAATACATTTTCTCGAAAAAAAAAAATTCTTCCAATATAGGACCAGTTGTTTTATATTATTTCTTAATTTTATTTATTAAATATTAAATTATTCCCCATAATAAAGTAGATAATTCAACGTAACAATTCACTTAATTAATAATTTATTTCAGACTAAACCTGAGTCGTTAAGACAAGTTTCAAACTCGGCATCATGACTACAGAAGTATTGGCAACTAGGTAAATGCATATAGTTTAACCAGTTATATAAAAATTTCGTAAAATTTAATAATATAGACGATGATAATATAAAACACTTTACAAAACATGCAATTCTAAATGCGATCTACACATGAAGAAAAAAATAACAATTTTTATCTGCGTTGTACGGGCACTATTCACTATCTAATTTTATTATTTTGTTTCTCTAGTTATAGATCAAATATAGTCTTGCATGTTTGTATATAAACTTATATCATCACAATTAGTATTACTTTTTTTTATATTTTTATAACTATTTGAGTCACATGTATATGATGGGTACCAAGACACATATAGCGAAGAAAATCCTGGTTCATCATGACTAACAAAGTTATTCCTAGTGTAAACTATTTCCTTGGAAGGTTTGAACAACCATGCTATGGAGTAGTACCCAGATTCTTTTCTACTCGGATTTGGCCACTATATCATAACAAGGAAAAAAAGGTAGTGAGTATGCACTCAAAGTCCACAGTAGGTCCACAACTGTTAACACGAAAAATTCCACCACATGCTGCCATCACAAATCGGCTACTCATGCAAGAAACCCATGCAATACACTGTGACCAGAAAAGCATTATGTTAGATTAAGGGATGTCAGGACAGCTAGAAAATGCCAAAAATATAAATATAGTTATATTCCAATTGTGTGTAAGTGTGATACTGCCAAAAAAGTAAATATAGTTATATTCCAGTTGTGTGTAAGTGTGATACAGCCGTCAGCCATGGGAGGAATTTAATCATCCATGTAGGGTGCCAAACGACTATGACACTTCTTCCCTCACGCGTCAGCAGGTAATTACTGTGAAATGTTGCTTTACTAGTAGTTTTAGTAAGTACGGAGTACTAGATTTCTTAAAATTTGTTTGGTTTCATCATTAATTAATTGACAAAGTTTGGGGATCGTTTAATTAAGCACTAGGATTGTCGTTATCATTATGGACGAGGAAGAATCGAACAACCGGCAGAAACCAAAAATGTGCAGCTAGATGTTACTCACTTTAATTATATTACTGAGGAGCAAGCTAATTAAGCTAGCCAACGAATTAAGGCAGCTGTACAGCATATGTGCACATTGCGCTTATGCCAATTTAATTCACTTCTTGTCATCTAAACTTATACACACAACTTAAACTTGCAAACTAAACTGACATAGTGTGAATGATGGGGAATGGATTCTACTAATCCTCGAGCAGATATTCCATGGGTATTTTTTTCTCCAAACTCAATATAAATATTTACAAAAAATTTAAAACAATTGACAATATAGAATATAAGTGGCATCTATTATTTTTTAAAAAAAACAAGTTTGAGAAAAGAAAAGATAAATTTGGATATGATGAATTTATTTTTTTCACTCCATATGTGTGAGTTAATTGTCGATTTAGGATTTTGTGAAGTGGTATATGTAGTATATGTCATCAAAAAAAATTTAAAAGAAAGATGTTTTATACTTCTTTAAAAGTCTCTAGTAGTGGTGGTGGACATGCTCTCATGTCTAGATCCGTTGTCCTAAATAATAACACATTTAATCATAGATTAGTGTATTATGGGCCGAGGAGAGTACATATATATTTTTGCTAATTTTCATAAATATTAGGATGGTTTCTAACAAACGAAGCGGCCAGGACATCCCCTGGTCGAATGAAAGCGTACATGCATTTATGTTTTCCCATGTAATTGGAAAATACAGCTGTACGGTAGTAGTATTACTCCCTCAATCCCAAAATAAGCGCAGCCATAAGTTTCTGTATCCAACTGTAATCATCCGTCTTATTTAAATTCATTTTTTAAAAAACTAAAAAAATATAAGTCACGCATAAAATACTATTCATGTTTTATAATATAATAACAATAAAAAAACTAATTATAAAAAATGGATACGGAAACTTATGGTCGCGCTTATTTTGGGACAGAGAGATTATTTCTCAAAATAACTAATCGGAATTCCCCACGGAGCTAACTCCGTCCTAAAATATAAACATTTGTAGCATAGTGACAAGTCAAATATTTTTAACTTTAACTATTAATTGCAAAGAAATAAAAAAGATCAATCATGTAAAATTGATGTTACTAGATTTATCATTAAACAAAATATCATAATATATAATTATTTTTATTTAAAATATCTTACTTTTATAAATATTATTGGTTGGTTAGGATCTAAAAATACCAAGGAAATTGCCAATCACCAAGCAGTCACCATCTACCATACATTGCAACGTGCATCCTGAAGCTTTTTCTCTCAAGCTTGTTGCTGCTGTGCTGTCCACCCTGCTTGCACCGGCCATGGCCCATATGGTGGCCAGCCAGGGGCGTAATCATGACTGCTACCACGAAGAGGGGTCACCGGCATTCAGATACGCAGGACTTGTTCACTTTATTATTGTTTCATTCAACCAAACGAAAATTTTATGTTACTAAGTTTTAATAAGCTAATAAATTAAACAGATGTCCATATCAAAAAATTGATAGTAGTTCCCAAACTTTTCTCTCACAAAGCCACTACTCCCTCCGTTTCAGGTTATAAGATGTTTTAAGTTTGGTCAAAATCAAATTGTTTTAAGTATGATAAAGTTTATAGAAAAAAATAGTAATATTTTTATCCAAGATAAATTTACTAAAAATATATTTAATTATTAATTTAATAAAACTAATTTGTTAATGTAAATATTACTATATTTGTTTATAAACTTAGTCAAACTTGAAGCAGTTTGGTTAAAACATTTTATAACCTAAAACGGAGGTAGATTTTGAAAAGGCACAGACTAAACACATACAACACTATCAAAATTTAGGTAACGTCAAAACTTATAAAAAAATTTGGTATTGTCTAAATTTGATAAGGTTGTCTCTTTTTCATTAAGATATGGATTTTATCTTAGTTTCCGTTAGCACGCTTTTTAAACTGCTAAACAGTATATTTCGTGCGAAAACTTTCTAATATACAAGTTGCTTTAAAATATCTGATAAACCACTTTTAAATTTATAACAATTAAAACTTAATTAATCATATCTTAATGATTTTTATTTTGTTTTCTACCACCTAACCTCATACTATTTCATCAACGGTAGAAACGAACCCCAGCTCAGAGCATAACTAAAGATTTGCCCTTGATTGGCCCGAAGCGTCTTGCACGCCTCGCATCGCATATACGCGACGCGCCCACACACAGCTGCATATGCTGCACAAAGCTTTTGCAGATGCATGTGTTGGCCTCAGCTTTCCAGGGTACGGTCGCTGGCTCACCAAGGCAATATGCAGATCTCAGCTCTCACATCTAGCTAACTAACTTGTGTACTACCCGTAACTGTGTCTGTGTGTTGGTACAATCGTGCATCGCGTGACACGTGATCGGATCCATATATCGGTCGACAGTTCGACACCTACCTAATTTATTGTTAGCATCGGAGGGGGTTATACAGGGACCTGTACCGTTTAATTTTGTCTCTCCACCACTTGCAAATATACAGATACGGATAAGATTAGAGAAGAGTTAGTAGTAGTACACCACCTAAGCTCGTTAACTCATCCTGTGCTGGTCGCATTCTTTTGCCAACATAGAGTTGGTGGTGGGACTGTTTTTAACTTCCTGCGAGAGACAATCCATACTGTGGTAGATGTGATTTCTATTTGTTTTCGAGCCGTTTTCATCCTTATCTAAAACGGTGTTTAGATTCGTGATGAGAACTGTAGGGAAATTCCTCCCGTACCAATATAGTTTTCGTAAGAAAATAATATCGTTTTTTATTGTTTTCATTTCTAGCCATATATAAATTTTTTTTTCTTAACTTCTTTCAGCACAGTATTAGGAGGAGACCGTGGATCGAACGAGAGAATGCAAGTTCCACTATCTTGGAGGTGAGGAGGACCTGTTGGTGTGTGGCTCCTCGAAGCCAATGCTGTGGCACCGAGACTTACAACGGTGAGTAGAGAGGAGCAGGGAGTGGTGTGCGTTTGGTCAGCGTCTATAGCAAGATTCGGGGCGAGGCTCAATGGTGTAAGAGCTTCAATGTGATGACGCGGAGCCGATAATAGGTTATGCTCGAGCCATGTAGGTGTTGCCCAAATAGAGTAAAGCTGGAAATAGAAGCTGAGGCGCCGACAAACTCCTACAACATAACAGTTTGGGGGAGGAGAGGAGAAAGGAGCATCACGACATAAGTCAAGGAGCCTCCGTCTCTGGTTGAGGGATGCAAACTAGACTTGGTCCGCTTGTGTTGACATGGCATCCCAATCACAAAATAGAAGTGAGGCCCATGTGTAAGTGACTGGGGACAAAATAAAATAAAAATTATAGGGCCTACTTGTCAGGCTCTTTCTCCACTTAATATCTTTTTTCCCAAATCCTCCCCTCTATATTTTTCCCAAATCCTCCACACTCAGTGCAGCTCATGTCTAGCACCGGTGGCCTCGTCCTAGCATCGCTGCAGCTGTGGGAGAGGGAGCGGTTCGTCATGATGGCAGATGACGTGGTCGGTGGACACAAACGAACGACGATGGTGATGACACGTAGAAGGAGAGCGGGCGCGAGCGCGCAAGGCGTGGAGTAGGATAAGGAAGAAGGGGGCAGGTTCCATGGTGACCACCACTTGGCAACACCCTGGTGAGCAGACCCTAACAGCCATAATCATACTGTCGAGAAGAAAACCCTAAAGCCGCCCAACTTCCTCAAGCTCGTATTTCACCGTGGCGTTGTGGGGGTCCCTTCAGTAGGCCAGTGGTGACGGCGAGGAGGTAGGACAAATCATGCTCTTGCCGACTTAGGTCGTCAACTGGCTTGAGGCCGTCGTAGATTTTGTCGTGGGCAAGGGAGCAAATCCAACAAGGTGGGCGATTGGCCGCAACATCTTCATCATCTCCTCCTCCTTCCACTTATATTTTCCTGTCGTTATGCCATAGTTGCCGAACAGGCTGTCCTCGTCGTGGCTGATAGATACACCAACCAGGAGACATCACGACACGTCATCGCTGTTCCGCCACCTCTGCAGCGTCCCCATGTGCGACGATGGGCCCACCACACTGTGTCGAATCAAGCACGTATCAGATGTGTCACGATAGCCACGGTGCATGCGGAGGAGGCATATGACAATGTTTGCCACCGTCGCCCTACCGCTGCTAGCTGCCGCCCGTCCCACTTCTCCAAGAAAAGATTAGGAGGGGAGAAGGGACCTAACAAGTGGGCCCCGCCAGTTTTTAAATTTTTCACTAGTCACTTATATGTGGAACCCACTGATATTTTGTGATGGGGCTACCACACCAACACCGGTAGACAAGTCAACATGCCTCGTTCATGAAAACCACTCTCGAAATCGAGGAGGAAGTTAAATTACACCGATTTTAATAGTTGAAGGATCAATATATCTGGTACTACTGTTGAGGGATGCGTATCAAATTGAACCTATATTTGAGGGACTCAAAGTGAACTTATTCCCCCAAACAAGTATGCTGACTGCCAAGTGAAAGCCCAACAGAATCACTGGTGTTTGCGGGCAGCGTCGAGCTCGGCCTAGCCCACAAGCATGCATGCCACACTAGCTTAGCTGTCTCATGCCACCACTAAACATGAGATGCATGCTTGCCGCTAGGCGCTGACTGGTGACGCCTGTTGATAACCGTAGATACGCTTGCAGCCTCTGGCTCTCCGTACACGTATATATATGCTCAGATGCATGCACCGATGCGTGCCAACGTACGTTGCAGATGGCCTCCCTGACTGCACACGCGTACACGCACGTACGCAAGGACCAGCGGATCCGACCGCCAATTCTCGCGTGGCATGCATGACAAGCAGCTAGCACCACCACATCGTATGACACGTAGATCACGATGATCGCCTCGAAATCCCCTCCTGTACTCTACTACACTACGACTACCCATTTTCATCGATCCATCGCGGCCGGCAGCCATGTCTCCGATGAGGCCGCGCTCCTCCAGCGCGAGCTCGACGTCGCCGGTGGCGGGGAAGAAGGAGAAGACGGCGACGAAGCCAGCTGGTGGTGGTGCTCGCGATCCGCCCAAGGGAAGGTCGTCGTCGTTCGCGTGCAGGGTGTGCGGCAAGAGGTTCCCGTCGCAGCAAGCCATGGCCGGCCACGAGGATCACTGCCGCCGCCACGAGGATCACGTCCGCGAGGCAGCTGCTGCCACCGCCGCCGCAGTCGTCGTTGTCGCCACCGCCACCGCTTCCGGTGGTTGCTCTAACCGTGCAACTTGCGGTGCTCTTCTGGCGTCTTACACCTGTGCGACTCAGCTTCTTGCCGCTGCCGCCGTCGCAGATTGGTCACAGGTGGCCGCCGGGATCCCTCTTTCCAAAGAGCAGCTTGTTGTCGCCGTCGCCATCGTCCTCGCCGACGACGGGTGAGCCGGCGAGTGCCACGGTTGATGTGACGCTCCGGCTGGGCTCCGGTGGCAAGCGCGGGAACGAGAAGCCTCTGGTCGAGTCACTGATGGTGCCGGCGGCAAGCCTACACGGTCACCGAGGAGAGCAGGGTCGCGAAGGCACGAGGGCGAGGGGGATGGACGGCTGTGATCATGGTAGGAAGAAGGGGAAAGCCCAGATGGACGGATTGGATCTAGAGCTGCATCTTCACCGCTAGTTTAGTAAAGGGTTTATTACCGGGAGCAGATTACAAAATTAGGGATTTGTTAGACAGCTGCCTGCTGTTTTTTTTTTTTTTGCGCTTTTGTCAGCTGGATTTGTGGCCATGGGATTTTTCTTCAAGATTTGTGCACAAGCCAGCCCAAGGCGTGTCCTCCCTTCAGCCACAAACGAGCCCAAGCTACAGTTCAAAAACATAAATCCTCATCTTCCAATTTCTCCTGCATGAATGGGAGGAAAGCAAGAGAAGCTGTCGGTGAGAGAGAGATCGAGAGAGGATGCGGCGAAGCAAGAAGCAGCGACCTCGATGTTGTCGGCGTCTTCTCCGCCGGTTGGAGCTCCTGGTTGTGGGCTTGTGGCGCAGCCAGGGCCAGGCAGCAGAGGTGTTTCTGTTGGATCTCGCCGCTGAAGAGTTGAATCTTGGACCATCAATGAACAACGAGGCCACATCGATCCCCAAGGTGAGTATTCCCCATGGAGATTTATGCGTTGAAATTTATCACATCTGTTCATGTGGGGGCTGCCGGATTAATGAAAAATCCATTAAGCAAATATGTTTGTGACTCACTAAATTACACAATGATGAACATTAACATGTGTGTTTATTGAACTACCGAAAAACGATACGTGCCCCGGAAGGAACTACGAGCTTCCATCTTCTGTACACATCGGAGGGACCATTTGGCTGGATCCTACGAACCGTGCAAACCCTCCCTGCCATTCACTGGTGGTAGTTGTATGCGGAATAGAAGGGATCACTCTGTACTACCTGCAATAATCTCTATAGGTAAACATTGAATTCAAAAATAGCACCAGTTGATCCATGCCAGCAAAAAAAAAGGACCATATGATGGGGAAAAATAATCAAGCTTGGTTTTTCTGGAGCTTTTCAACTCCTGCCTCACATGTACGAGAGAGCAAAGAAAAAAAATGCATAGGGAATAGAACTTGCAATAGAACTACAGAAATAAAAGGCTTTCCAAGCAATCCATGGTCCCACACAGCGCATGACTGTAGAAAGGTTTGCAAAGTTCAGAAAATAAATGGTAAAATGACCACCTAATTTTGGTATATTCTGAAAATTAGTCCATAAAAATAGTGTGTATTGTACTTTTAAGTCCCTAGATTAAATTAGCATGGGGTGGAACAATTAATTCTATAAGTTATGCCACTTGTACGTAAAAAAACTGTGCATGAAAAAGAGCTAAATTTTAGGACGATTTTCATAATAATGTGTAAAGCTTTTGGTTTAATTTAGAGAAAGGTTACCATAACTATAATGATTTAAAATAATTCGTGCACCTAATATAATTAATATGTTTTCATATACATAGCTTGTAACAGGTTGATTAGAGTCGTGTGAATGCTATACTATATACAATAGTACTAGAGAAGTTAACAAGTCATCCATACAAAAATATTTTGTGAAACAGTTTCTACCGGTACCGATGTAAACCCTTGATGCCACTGTGATCCTCCTTTTGTTGTTGGTATAGGCCTAACCAACTGCATGCTAACAAGTTAACAAGTAGTATGCTCGAAAACTATTTGTATCATAATAGGCTTTACCTGCATTGTCCGGTCAGTTTATCGTAGACGGTGCCACAGGCCTTGCCGACGACCTAGGACGTGTGGAAGCTGAGGGTCTTGCCTATGTCGAAGGCCTAGAAGAGGTAGAAGAGGTAGACGGTTGTTCCAGTAGGGGGTCCGCAAACCTGTGTCCTGTGGGACGGTGGACTTCTGATGCACGCCTGCACGATGCCCCCCGCATAATACGTTTGCATTTCTGTCGCATTCGGTCCAGAGCAGACATCATCTCCTCAAGGGACCCAGCTATATTGTCACGCAGCTTCTCCCACAGTGAGGTTGTGTCAGAATATAGTTCCTCCGCAATATCGCCCTACGAAAATAAATGTTACAATGATTACAGGTTGCGGTAAGATTATTGTTTCATTAAAAATTTAGTGGATAATATGTTACCGTCAGGTGGGTAACTGGCGCTGACTGCATAGGGTACAGCGTGTCCACGTCGGCTATTTCAGGAATATATGGATCCTCTATTGTCACAAGGCATACGCGTGTTTATGCGATGTACCACCGCATGTACAACGCGTACATACGACGGTCGTACGGTCTGGATTCGTTAATATATCGAATGTTGCCCTCGAACATTGTTCGACCCAAGGGGTCATCTTACCAACGATATTTCGCCACACGCTAGCATCTCCCTTCCTCTTTTCTAACAAAAAAACTCATCATTAGGTGTTGAGTTAAGTAGTATAATTCGGACACACGGTAATTAATGGGAATCCAATTGAATTTAACTTATAAGTGTATTTTTTTGGAGGGGGGGACTGTTTCACCAAGCAGGAGAGGCACTTCTTGGTAAAGGCTGAATTGCCTCATTACACGCTGTAGATTGTACGCCTCAACGGCTATATCGTAGACAAGCATCTTTTTCATCAGCCAGTAAGACGAGTCACGCAAGTAGAGTATACTGAGGTCGGCAGGGGCACGACGTTGTGTCTCCTCTTCCGTGTATGGACACCACTGAACGTATCCTCCTTAAGTAGATCGAACGCCTCAGTGAAGTACTCGTACACGCTTCGAGCCTGAACGTTCGTCCACTGTGGTTGCATGTTATTAAATAAATAGTAAGATTATAGCTGTACGAACTAAATGCAAATGTACAAAAAAAAATTTCTACGTACCGGTCCCTAGCACCAACGCATGCCATAAGTAGGCCTATCATCTGTAGTGTTACCAAATAAGCTAGAATATGCCACAGTTCCAGGCACGTATGGTCGTCCCAATGGGAAGCGTTCTTAAGACCATAGCATGAACAACAACGGACAACCAGTAAACATAGGTTGCTTAAAGCTTGTCTTTGTGCATGCTTCACATAGATCTCGGTAAGTTGTAGCCAAAACTGCTGATCCCCAACTCCACTAGGGAAAACTTTCTATGTTGCCCTGCACAATAAATCTTGCTATGGAAATCATTCTCGCATCCACTATGTATCCGTGTCCACTTGTGAACATAACCCATCCAAAAAGCCATAGAAGGTAAGCCTCCAAATGCAATTCCACATGGTAATTTTCTACGTCCTCTCTCGTGAAAGAAACCTACAAAGGTACACAGAAAATTTCAATAACAAAACATAATATCATCAATGGAAGTTTTTTGTATGAATTAGTTTTTCCTCGAACTGGATGAGCCAGTGTAACGTAGGGCCGCGCGCTTCATCTTTATAGAAAAGTCCTTTCATGTCTCTATCATCCTCTGGAACAATGTAAGCATATCTTCCAATAATATCATCCCTCCATTCCACAGGTGGGTCGGGGAGGACAATTGTCTGTCCTGCAAGTGGTAGCCCTATAAGCATGGATACATCTCGCAGTGTAATTGCCATCTCTCCACACGGGAGGTGGAAAGTGTGAGTCTCCGGCCTCCATCTGTCGACCAATGCAGTTAGAAGTCCCTTGTGTATAATCTATCGGCGTGTGTCTCTAGATGACACATCTTCATCTTCCTCGTCAGTGTCTTCCCTTTTATTTGCTTTCCGTCGGCGTGCACTTTGTTGTCTTGCTACCATGTAATCGTAATGCCCTCTAGCCTGCAACATCCTAACAAAAAGAAGAATGCCTGCAACAAGACATCCTTGCATAACGAGTTGTTGCGTCAGACAAAATTTACAATAATTGCAGCAAAAAAATTAACAAAAATTCATGTAAGTGTGTAAAAAAATTAGTTACCTTGGTAACCAACGTTCGTCGACTCCCCACATTGGGAAAGTCCGCGTTATGAAGACCGACATACCACTTGGACGACTGGAAGACATTAGCCATGCATGGTGCCATGCATCGATGTCTCTACTGAGTAACGGGTAGGATTCTGGAAGACATCAGCCATGCACGGTGCACGGCATCGATGCACGGCACCGTGCACGGCTGATGTCTTCCAGCTGTCCAAGTGGTATGTCCAAGTGGTACATCGCACAAACACATGTACGTCTTGTGACAATAGAGGATCCAGATATTCCTGAAATAGCCAACGTGGACACGCTGTACCCTATGCAGTCAGCGCCAGTTACCCACCTGACGGTAACATATTATCCACTAAATTTTTAATGAAACAATAATCTTACCGCAACCTGTAATCATTGTAACATTTATTTTCGTAGGGCGATATTGTGGAGGAACTATATTCTGACACAACCTCACTGTGGGAGAAGCTGCGTGACAATATAGCTGGGTCCCTCGAGGAGATGATGTCTGCTCTAGACCGAATGCGACAGAAATGCAAACGTATTATGCGGGGGCATAGTACAGGCATGCATCAGAAGTCCACCGTCCCACAGGACACAGGTTTGCGGACCCCCTACCGGAACAACCGTCTACCTCTTCTAGGCCTTCCACATCGGCAAGACCCTCAGCTTCCACACGTCCTGGACGTCGGCAAGGCCTGTGGCACCGTCTACGATAAACCGATCGGACAATGCAGGTAAAGCCTATTATGATACAAATAGTTTTCGAGCATACTACTTGTTAACTTGTTAGCACGCAAGTGGTTAGGCCTATACCAACAATAACAGGAGGATCACAGTGGCATCAAGGGTTCACATCGGTACCGGGTAGAAACTGTTTCACAAAATATTTTTGCATGGATGACTTGTTAACTTCTCATCTAGTACAACTGTATATAGTCTAGCATTCACACTACTTTAATCAACATGTTACAAGCTATGTATATGAAAATATATGAATTATATTAGATGCACGAATTGTTTTTAATCATTATACTTATGGTAACCTTTCTCTAAATTAAACCAAAAGCTCTACGCATTATTATGAAAATCGTCCTAAAATTTAGCTCATTTCATGCACAGTTTTTTTAAGTACAAGTGGCCTAACTTATAGAATTAATTGTTCCGCCTAATGCTAATTTAATCTATGGACTTAAAAGTACAATACACACTATTTTTATGGACTAATTTTCAGAATATACTGAAATTAGGTGGTCGTTTTACCATACCATTTATTTTCTGAACTTTGCAAACCTTTCTACAGCCATGCGCTGTGTGGGACAATGGATTGCTTGGAAAGCCTTTTATTTCTATAGTTCTATTGCAAGTTCTATTCCCTATGCATTTTTTTTCTTTGCTCTCTCATATATGTGAGGCAGGAGTTGAAAAGCTCTAGAAAAACCAAGCTTAATTATTTGTTGTCCATTAGATGGTCCTATTTTTTTTTCCGACATGGATCAACTGGTGCTATTTTTAAATTCAATGTTCACCTATAGAGATTATTGCAGGTAGTATAGCAGTGATCCCTTCTATTCTGCGTGTAAGTACCTCCAGTGAATGGCAGGGAGGGTTTGTGTGGTTCGCAGGATCCAGCCAAATGGTCCCTCTGATGTGTACAGAAGATGGAAGCTTACAGTTCTTTCCAGGGCACGTAGCGTTTTCCGGTAGTTCAATAAACACGCATGTTAATGTTCATCATTTTGTAATTTAGTTAGTCACAAACATATTTGCTTAATTTTGCAGGTGTACCTTAAGTTAACATGCTCATGTTTCCAACGGGTATGAACGATCAGTGGTATGGAGCTTCCACATACAACACTGGTTCGTACATAATGTGTTTCATTTTTGACGATCCTTATATTGCGATATTAAATTAGCGCTGCACCTGCAGGGGATCTACCAAATGTCCATAACTGAAAATGTACAACCACAAGGACCAAGCTTTTTGGACATGTTAGGCCAAGGAGATTGGTTGTTCAGTCAATCACCTATCATGCAACCACAAACAACATGTACAAATTACAATATACTTTAAAATATTTTAGCTCCAGTATGTTAGTGGGCTACAACTTTGGATTCCATGTTTTGTAGGAATGTACACTGCCGACCAAATGATAGGATATGCCGACAGCACACAGTCCTACAGAGAACCATGTAGCTACGGTGGGGGTCGTCAACAGCACTACACGAGATAGGACCGTCGCATATTGATGAACCACCTCCAATAACTCAGCTGACCCAAGACTACGGGCATGTTGATTTCAGCGGTGTTAAGGTGGCACATAGGTCTGTCCGCGAGTGACATTCACCTGAAAGATTATCTTTGTCAAGACGCAGACCTCCAGCTAGTGCTAGAAGAAAGGGAAAGAAAAAGGACACTAGCACATCACGAAATTTTGATGATGAGGCTAATGAGTGGAACGATTTTATATTTTGCTCTTTCGAACTAATATGTAATGTTGTGTGTTCAAACTTTCTAATGTGTCAGCTACATTTCTAAAGAAATAAATTCGAAATATTTACCCGCTTTCCCTTCACGAACACTTACAGATATTTACCTTTACACAACACTTCAGTGGGTTTGAGCGCTTTGCAAATTCACAGCATTATCTTTTGGTAAGCCCCCAATATGCGCCATAAATCATCGCGTACTCAGTTCATACCACAAGATAGGGCCTGTGAATTCGCAAAGCGCACTAACTTATTGAAGCTTACACCAATGATAGACTCTACGAATATGAATTATATGCTATACTTGAGTCTGTTTCTTTCATTTCGTAACTTTCATTTTATAGGCACTCAACGAGTAGGCTCTGTAACCAGACGACAACAAACTTTTGGCGGACATCCCCTGAAAAATGCTAGGACTAGAGAAGAGAATCACTCTCTCCTTTATTTCTGGCTGAGAATGCCAAATGGAGCAAGAGGACAAAAGAACTTTCGGTGGACAAAACAACTTTCGATGCGGTCCCGCAGAATGGAGGTGCGGAGTAGTAGTGCGATCCCGCGCGCTAGGAATGTGGCATCGATGCCCCACGGGACCGGCTCGGTGCTACCGTTTGGGGCTGCGTTCTGTGTGACCGGTCGGGCCGGTGGCCGGTCCCGCGTGCAACACCAACTCGCACAGCCGTGACGCGGGACCGGCTCGGTTCCGCACCCCCGGTCTGCGCGACCGTGCCGGTCCTGCACTCCCAGGCTACGGTACCGCGTTCCCGCGCCGTGCCCTGTGTTACTATCTTACTCCCGCATTTCCAGCGCGTGGAGGAGGTATATGTTTGCTAAACTTTACCACCCAGGTATATAAATGCAAATTATTAAAAAAAGTATATTTTTAAATTTAATTCAAGTTAGGATCAGCTGTACCACAGCTCTCATCTAGCCGTATTAGTTTTGTCCTTTTTCGTATGAACAGCACCTAGTTTTTAGCAACAATACTTTGTTTTCCTTTTTATTTAAAGTCTAGATTTGTCGGCTACCTATTTCAACATTTCACTAGTTCTTGTAGTTTTGATTAAAGTTTCAGCTTGCAGTTTTCTAGGTTAGGCACTTTAGATTCCTGAACTAGTAAAGTATTAGTAGAAGCATGTAGCAGCATATGTCACTAAGTACCTTTTAAACTAACCGAAATCAACAATGCCAGTTTTGTCAGTGTAAGTATTAATCCATAAAGGAAGCTACGTTGTAATTGGTAATTGATGATGGGAAGCATGACTTAAAAGGTGGGGACAGTCCTCACCTATATCGACTAGTTTTTTTGGATTGTGTAGGCCCAGCACCACTAAAGTTGTGGCTAGTTGGGCCTGTGGTAGAACAGGCCCAATATGATCTGGGTGGCCTACGGTTGATGGGTCGGGCTGCGCATTCTAACAGCTTATATAGAGGGCAAAATGTCCATTGATAGCCTTAACAGCACCCATGCATGGTGATTCAATTGGAATGTCTGTGGATAGTAAAAACTGAACAAAACAATCCCCATTACCCTCATATGCTAACCTGATGGAGAAATTTGTCAGTTAGTAACAGTTAATCAAGGTTATGTTAGTTTTGTCAACCGAGTAACTAATTCTTTTCTACAAGAAAGTACCACATCTGAGCTGACCATTGCTAATGCTCTGAACAAAAGACACAGAAGGCTAAAGACGATAGTCGGAAGAGGACACTGCGGACTGGCTTTGCGGGATCGATTGGAGCAGCCTATCAGAATGAGGGAAGAACTAAAGAAGTAAAGAGGCTGACAAGCTTAGTACAGTAGGTTAATTTCTGTAATGTTTGCAGATCTTCTACAAACAAGGTATGCTTGTTGTGTGTATATAGATTGATCCCCATTGATGTTGCTTGCTCTGAATAAAAGGATGATGTGATTAGGAGACAAGGAGGCACAGGTGTGACGCTATCAGGTAGTTGGGCTACCATTTTAACGATTGTGTGTTGATGGGCTTGTTTTGTTGACGAACAAATCGGCAAGCCTCAGAATTTGAATAAACTCGCACAAAAGCGTGACGTGCGCGCGGGGGAGGTGCCCGTGGCAGGGCAGTCAACAGATGACGCTACTTGTTTCATCATGTGGAGAGGAAACCGACTAAAATAGTATAGGACCCGCGCAGATTGTGCGGCTAGCATCGTTATATTTTTCTCATATAATAGCATATATAATTTAACATTTTAAAATGGCAATATAATTTTAAACTTTTGTCTCAAATGACCGTGGTGGCGTGGTGGTGGAGTTGTGGCTGCATGACTCCACCTAGCAGAATTCAAATCTGGTGCCTATAAATATTATGCATATTTAAGCTTTTGAACCAAACTTTAGTGTGATTAGTAAAAAAATGACTCAACTAACTATGATATTTTGCTAATATAGTAATTTCTCTGTCTATAAAGCAAACGTGCTAGGATATGTAAGTCATGGTATTTCTTTTTGTCTTCTTTCCTCCATCTTCATCCTATTAGTATCATCCTCTTATTATTTTTAGTGGCATTTTTCATCAACTAGATAAGACATATTGTATTAGTGATAGTTTATATTGTATCAAATATTCCTCACAGTTTCGAGGAAATTTGTTGTCACGTTAGTACAGATTCGAGGATATAATCTTATCTGTTAGTATATTGTTTTAATGTAGATTGGGAATAAAGTTATTTTTTTGAAAAAAAGTATGAATTGCCCCATAAACTATTCTAGTCGACCCAATTACCCCTGAACCTAAAAACCAGACGTCACTCACTCTAAACTTTCAATACCGGATGAATTACCCCCCTCAATCTAATCCAAAGCGGTTTTGTCCCACGTGAAGTACGCGTGGCGATCTAATCAATATTTTCTTTTTAAAAAATGGTGAGACCCACGTGTAATACCTCCTCTACCCCTCTTTTTCTCTCTCCTCGCGCCGGCGCGCACAGCGGCGCACGGCAGCGCGCGAAAGCGGGCGGTCGACGCACAAGACACGGAGGCGGTGGGCCCCTCGGCTGCCACCGCCGCTGCCGAGGCAGAGGTGGAGAAGGCCAGGACAGAGTGGGTGGCCAGGAGTGCGCGGTGGTGGAGGGAGTCGGAGGAGGTGGAGATGGAGGAGGAGGGGATGGGGGCGGGAGGGAGAGAGGAGGAGCGGAGGGCGGCGCGCGGGGAGGTGTAGGGGATGGGGCCGCGCGCCGCTCGACTTGCGCCCATGCCGATGACGCGGCGCTCACCCCATATCCCTCGCCTCCTTTTCCTCCACGAGCTCGAATCCGAGAGTTTCGATTCGGCAGCGACGACGTTGGAGTGGGTGGTGCTTGAGGCGATCATGGTGCTGCTTCTGACGCTGCCAGTGCTGGACAGGCTCCCGGTGCGGGATGATCTCCGTGGTGCGGAGCGCGCTGAAGACGATGATGTTGATGGTGCTCTTCTGCCTCTTCCTGCTGATGGACATCTACTGGAAGTACGAGGTGCGGCCCACCTACAATGACGAGCACCACTGCACCCCGTCCGAGCACCTCCGCCACCAGAAATCCATCATGAAGCCGCAGCGCAGCGCGCTCCTCATCGCCACTGCGCTGGTCCTCTACTGGATCCTTCTTCCCTGTCACCTTCCTCGTCGTCAGGCTTGACCAGCTCTAGCAGCGTGTCAACAAGCTCAAGAAGCAGGATGACTAACTCTAGCTGATCCTGCTACCCCCTGATTCAGCGTGTCGATTGGCCCGACCGTGACCCGCCCACCGCCGACTTGCACCCGCGCCAGACGACGCAAGGAGAGAGAAAGAGGGGGGAATTGGGGAAGAGGAGGTATGTTATGTGGGTCACATCATTTTTTAAAAAAAAGAAAATGCTGACTGGATTGCCACGCGTACGCCACGTAGGATAAAACCACTCTAAATTGCATAGGGGGGTAATTCGTCCGGTGTTGAAAATTTAGGGTGAGCTATGTCTGGTTTCAAGTTCAGGGAGGTAATAATTAGGTCGACCGTAATTGTTCAGGGGGTAATTCGTACTTTTTTCTTATATTTTATTTGATCACCTCGTAGGACTAATGTGGGGCTTGAAAAAGCGCCCCCCCCCCCCGCGCGTGGCCAGGCCGGCCCGCACGGGCGCCGCCTCCACGACCACCCCGGCGCCGGCCCCACCTTTTCATTGCTGCCGCCACACAGAGCCAGCCGACGCTCAGCCGAGCACGGACGCGAGCTGCGCCTTGAAGGAAGAGGAAGGCGGGGTGGCCATGGGCGCCGGCGAGGAGCTCAAGGAAGGAGGAGGGAAGGTCGGCGATGAGGCCGGCGTCATCTTCTTCATCTTCTGCCAGCCGTCGATTTCATTTAGGGAGAGAAGAGAAGGGGAAGGAGGCCGGCAACAGCCCCTCTCTGTCGGCAACCATTGCCGAGACAGAAAGAAGATAAAAGAGTTGGCACTATCATCTAGGACCCGCCGCCGCCATGTCGCCCGCCACCTCCTCCTCTCCCGCCTCTCCCCGGCGCCTCCTCCCTTGCCACCGGCCGGCTTTGCCTAGAGAACGTGACAAGAGTGAGAGAGAGGAGGAAGGGAGAGAGAAGGATGATGTGGCATCCATACATGTGGGTCCCACGTGGGTCCCACGCTGACTCAGCCGCCACGTAGGACAAAACCGGGGTCAAAACCACAGAATGACCTATTGTGATTGGTTTTGATTAGTTAAGAGACGCCGGATATCTGGTTTTGCGGTTGGGGGACGATTTTGTAACTCGATGACAAGTTGAGGGACCTTCGGTCTACTTTTTCCAAGAAGAGTTTGCCAAGTCCTAAAGACCACCTTTTATGATTTTATCTAAGGAAAAAGTATACTTGGACTCCCTCAACTATCGCCCGAGTATGATTCATGTCCTCCAACCACAAAACCGGTGCAAACAATGTCCCTAAGTGGTTTTGGAGGTGGTTTTAGCTGACGTGGCGCCTACGTGGCAGTCTTGACCGAGTATTTGTCCTACGTGGTGCTTATGTGGCATTAGAATAAAAACAAAAATAAAAAATATGTGCGACACATGTCATTCACAAAAAAGAGTATTGTGGGACTCACATGTCATCCTCCCTCTCCTTCCCTTCTTCCTCCCCCTCTCTCTCCCTTATCTCCCTCCCTCTCTCTCTCTCTCCTCTCTCTCTCTCGGGAGCAGCAGCGGTGGTGGTGGGGACGAGGTGGAGGGGACCGGTGGCAACGGTGGCGGCGGCGGTCGGGAGTGGCGGCAGTGGAGGTGAGGACGAGGCCGAGGGGAGCGGCAGCAGCGGCGGTCGGGAGCGGTCGAAGCACGAGCTCCTCCCAGAAGCACACCGTCCTCCTCCTCCTCCGCCTCCGCCGCATCGTCCCCGCAAAACCACCTCTTCTGCCTTCTCCTCCTCCTCCTGACCGCCGCAGCCGTCGCTCCCCTCCGCCTCGTCCCCACCATCACCGCCGCAGCTACCGAGAGAGAGATAAGGGAGAGCGAGAGGGAGGATGACATGTGGGTCCCACAATACTTTTTTGTGTGAATGACATACGGGTCCCACATTTTTTTTTAACTTAGGTGATTCCCTGCGCTTTGCTGCGGAAATTACTAAGTAACTTTTATATTTTGTAATAATCTAGCTAAAAATAAAAATTCTATTAGTTATTAAAAACAAATAAAACTGATTTGTGAAACTATGTTAATAGAGAAATAAATTTAGTAGACTCTGTATGAAATATAATATTCCGCACTTTGATTATATGGATGAATATTTGTTAAGTATTATAAAAATAATGGATATATATATGTTAAAAATATTGTGAAAAATAATGTGAAGGAAGATGATTGGATATTGATTTGTAGAATTCAATGAATTATAGATGATGTTGCATGCTTGCATGTTACACTATGATAAGTTTTGTATGTATTATTGCTAGTGGATGATGAGGTGGCATGTTGAGCTTTAGAATTAGTAGGTTATAACTCTATAGTAAAGATAAGATTTTTGTTTTTATTTTAATACCACGTAAGCGCCACGTAGGACAAAGAATCGGTCAAGACCGCCATGTCAGCCGAAACCACCTCCAAAACCATCTAGGAATATTGTTTGCACATATTTTAATAATTGAAGGAGTTGATATATCTAATTTTATGGCTGGAGAACATGAATGCTACTCGGACGACAGTTGAGGGAGTTTTATCTGACGGGCCCTCGTAGTCCGAGCCCACACGACCATCTAAGTGAACAGGGCCCAGAGAGAGAGAGAGAGAGAGCCCAAAGTCAAGTGAAGTCCAGCCCACGGCGGTGCTCGCGCCCGCGGCTTCCCGACGCCACCCACCGCTGCCGCTGTTAGTAATAAGTCTAGCTGCTCAGAGTAGTTAGTTTCCCTCTGTTTTTACGTTGAGTCTTGCACATGATCTGTTCATCCTGTTTGTGTGCATAGTGGGCTTGACGCACGCTGCGTTCGTGCGGAGTCCGTGGTGTCGTGCATGGTGTGCTCCAGTTCGTGGGATGGCGCGAAGTGGCAAGGAGTGTGGCACGCACAATTAGGAGGCCACTATGGCCACGTTTAACTTTCTTGTAATTTGCTATTTAAGGTTAAGCTCTAATCCAGAAAAGCTGCCAGTTAATGCAGCGCCAAAATACTCTGTGTTGCTCTGTTTCTGTTTTGCCAGACAAGCTACAGTTTTTCGTTTTGCCGCTAACAATTGGTATCAGAGCCTTCGGTGATCGCCGGGGTTCCTGATGTCGCTACCAACGCCACGCGTCTCCCACTCACCACCGCGTCGTCGCTGGCGCTCGCCGTCTCCGCGCCGTGGCCGTCATGGCAGCCGCGGCCAAGTCGTGGTGGAACGCGTCGTCCGCGAGGCGACCACGAGCAGCGTCGTCTACCCGACACTCACCCACACAAATTACCAAGACTGGGCGCTGGTAATGTGGGTGAACATGCAGGCCCAAGGTCTGTGGGGCGCGGTGGAGCCGGAGGGCGATGATCTCGTCGACTATCGGCAGGACCGGCAGGCGCTCGCCGCGATACTTCGCGCCGTGCCCGCCGAGATGCTCGCCACGCTCGCTGTCAAGGAGACGGCGCAGGAGGCGTGGGAAGCGATCAAGACTCGCCGTATCGGTGTGCAGCGCGTGCGTGAGGTGAATGCACAGCAGCTGCGCCGAGAATTCGGTGATATCCTCTTCAAGGACGGTGAAACCGTCGACGACTTCTCGATGCGGATCGGCGGCCTCGCCAACAACCTTCGCACCTTAGGTGATAATATCACTGAAGCTGAGGTCGTTCAGAAATTGTTGCAGGTTGTCCCAGAACATCTCCAGCAAATAGCCATCTCGATTGAGACCTTGCTCGACGTCAATGAGGTGTCTCTCGAGGAGGTTACTGGGCGTCTGCGCTCCGTCGAGCAACGCAAGCAGCGCAAGACTGCGGCGGCATCGAGTCAGGTCGACGCCAATGGCCGTCTCCTCTTCACCGAGGAAGAATGGCTGGCGAAATTCCGCAAGGCGGCCTCTCTGCAAGACGCCGCTCACTCCTCCGGCGGCAACGGCGACCACCGGGGTCGAGGGCGTGGGAAGAAGGACGGTGGAGCCCCGAAGGAGGCCCAGCCCAAGCCAGCCAACCCGGGAGGCCGTAACCCGGGAAATTGCAAGAATTGCGGCAAGAGGGGACATTGGGCCAAAGACTGTCGCAGCAAGCCCAAGGCCCAGCAAGCTTACGTAGCCCAGGAGGAGGACGAAGAGCCTGCTCTGCTCCTAGCCAAGGTGCAGCTGGATCCGCCGCGTCCTCGCGTCGCTGCACCGACAAACGTCGTCTCGCCACCGAGCGCGCCGAGGGCGCCTTCGCCGATGGGCGAACTCGCCGTAGTCGAGGCAAGGGTCTTCGCGCAGCTAGACGACGGTGGCGAACATGATCCGGCAATGTGGATCCTGGATACTGGCGCAACCAACCATATGACCGGGTCCCGCTCCGCTTTCGCCGAGCTCGACACGGTGGTCACCGGCACTGTCAGGTTTGGCGACGGCTCGGTGGTTCGCATCGAGGGCCGCGGCACCGTCCTGTTCTCCTGCAGGTTCGGGGAACACCGCGGCATCGCCGGGGTCTACTACATCCCGCGGCTCATGGCGAACATCGTCAGCCTTGGACAGCTGGATCGTTCCGGCAGCAAGGTACTGATTCATCACGGCGTCCTGCGCGTGTGGGATCCTCGAGGGCACCTACTCGTCCGTGTCCGACGCTCCGACGACTGCCTCTACACCATCAATCTGTACATCGACCGTCCGGTCTGCCTCGCGGCAAGGAGCGCCGAGCCGGCGTGGCGGTGGCACGCCAGGTACGGCCACCTCAACTTTCCTGCTCTCCGCAAGCTCGCGCAACAGGAAATGGTTCGTGGGCTGCCGCTGCTGCAACAAGTCACTCAAGTCTGCGATGGCTGTTTGCTCGGGAAGCAGCGGCGAGCGGCGTTCCCGACGTAGTCCAAGTACCGCGCTGACGAACACCTGGAGCTCGTCCACGGCGATCTCTGTGGGCCGATCGAACCTGCAACGCCGGCTGGTAATTGGTATTTTTTGTTGCTTGTCGATGACATGAGCCGCTATATGTGGCTAACCTTGATCAGGAGCAAGGATGAGGCCGCGAACGCCATCAAGCACTTTCAGGCCCGTGCAGAGGTGGAGTCCGGGCGCAAACTCCGTGCACTGCGCACGGATCGTGGCGGCGAATTCACCTCAATCGAATTTGGGGAATACTGCGCCAATCTCGGAGTTGGTCGGCAGTTGACGGCGCCCTACTCCCCGCAGCAGAACGGAGTAGTGGAGCATCGAAACCAAACCATCGTCGCCACTGCCCGCAGCATGTTGAAGGCGAAGGGTGTTCCTGGGCGGTTCTGGGGAGAGGCCATGTCCACAGCGGTCTTTCTCTTGAATCGTTCGCCGACGAAAAGCTTGGACAACCAAACGCCCTATGAAGCATGGTATGGCCAACGGCCCGCTATGCATTTCCGGCGCACTTTCGGGTGCAGGGGGCACGTCAAGATCACCAAGCCCGGGCTGAAGAAACTCGATGACCGGAGTGCGCCAATGGTGCTCCTCGGCTACGTGCAAGGCTCGAAGGCCTACCGGCTCTATGATCCAGTCAGCGAGCGCGTCCATGTGTCAGGGACGTGGTGTTTGATGAAGACGCCGCCTGGGACTGGGGACCAGTGACGCCCGATGGTGCTCCCCAGCTCGAGCCGTTCACCGTCGAATAGGTGGTGACGACCACCATCGGGACGGCACCTGCTTCGTTGCCGACTCCGCCCTCGCCACCATCGCCGGCTCCGTCGGCCCCCACGACGCCGGCACCTCCGTCGCCTCCGTTGCCGGAGGCGGTTGAGTTTGTCATGCCGCCTACCCAGGATTCCATCCTGGACGCCGACGCAGATGACGACGTCGTGCCTCGCTACCGCCTGGTGGATAACCTGCTGGGGAATGCCTCACCGCCTGGACACGCTCCGCGGGTGCTGGAATAGCTCGAGCTCCATGTTGTGAGCGCCGACGAACCTGCTTCACTGGCTGAGGCGGATCCAAACTGGCGTGGCGCCATGCAAGACGAGCTTAACGCGATCGTCGACAACGACACTTGGTCGCTCACTGACCTACCCCATGGCCACCGTGCAATTGGGCTAAAATGGGTCTACAAGCTGAAACGTGACGAACAGGGGGCGATCGTGCGCTACAAGGCGCGCCTCGTCGCTAAGGGGTACGTCCAATGACAGGGGGTGGACTTCGACGAGGTCTTCGCACCTGTCGCCCGGCTGGAATCGGTGCGCCTCCTTCTCGCCGTCGCCGCGCACCAAGGGTGGCAAGTCCACCACATGGACGTCAAGTCGGCATTCCTCAACGGCGAGCTGCTCGAGGAAGTTTATGTCTCGCAGCCGCTGGGTTTCGTCGACGACAACCACAAGAACAAGGTGTATCGCCTGCACAAAGCTCTTTACGGCTTGCGCCAGGCGCCTCGCGCGTGGAATGCCAAACTTGATAGCTCCTTGCTGTCACTCGGCTTTCACCGCAGCAGCTCCGAGCATGGTGTGTACACACGCACCAGGGGAGGAAGACGACTGACGGTGGGCGTCTACGTCGATGACCTCATCATCACCGGCGATCACGACGACGAGATCCGCAGCTTCAAGGGAGAGATGATGAAGCTCTTCAAGATGAGTGATTTGGGGCACTCAGATACTACCTCGGCATCGAGGTTACCCAGGACAGTGATGGGATCACGCTGGGGCAAGCCGCATATGCCGGCAAGATTCTTGAGAAGGCAGGACTCAAGGACTGCAATCCCTGTCAGACTCCCATGGAGGTACGTTTGAAATTGAGAAAGGGTTCAGATTTTCCACTTGTGGATGCTACATTGTATCGCAGCTTGGTTGGGAGTCTGCGCTATCTCGTCAACACGCGACCCGACCTGGCATTCTCTGTTGGGTATGTCAGTCGCTTCATGGAGTCACCCAGGGAAGATCATCTCGCAGCCGTTCGGCGCATACTGCGCTATGTGGCAGGCACTCGCTGCTGGGGAATTCGATTTGGCCCAGGTGCACGGTGCGCTTTGCCAATGTTGGTTGGTTACTCTGACAGTGATCTGGCTGGCGATCCAGATGAGCGAAAGAGCACGTCCGGCCAGATTTTCTTCGTCAATGGCGGGCCTATCACTTGGCAGTCCTCCAAGCAGAAGGTGGTGGCATTGTCCTCCTGTGAGGCCGAGTACATCGCCGCAGCCGCCGCAACATGTCAAGGAGTATGGCTCGCGCGGCTGTTAGCGGAGGTGCTGGGCGACGAGATCGCCGCACCGCTGCTGAAGGTGGACAACCAGTCCACAATATCATTGATAAAAAATCCAGTGCATCATGACCGGAGTAAGCATATCGATGTCAAATATCATTATATCCGGGAGTGTGCAGAAAAGAAACTGATCGAAATGATGTTCGTGGGAACTGCGGAGCAGCTCGGTGATATATTCACCAAATCTCTGGGCAGAACCAGGTTTCAGGAGCTTCGTTTAAAGATCGGTGTCTGTTCTCTTGACAAGAGCGGTCAGACTTAAGGGGGTGATTTGTTAGTAATAAGTCTAGCTGCTCAGAGTAGTTAGTTTCCCTCCGTTTTTACGTTGAGTCTTGTACATGATCTGTTCATCCTGTTTGTGTTCATAGTGGGCTTGACGCACGCTGCGTTCGTGCGGAGTCCGTGGTGTCGTGCGTGGTGTGCTCCAGTTCGTGGGATGGCGCGAAGTGGCAAGGAGTGTGGCACGCACAATTAGGAGGCCACTATGGCCACGTTTAACTTTCTTGTAACTTGCTATTTAATGTTAAGCTCTAATCCAGAAAAGCTGCCTTTCTGTTTTGCTAGACAAGCTACATTTCGTTTTGCCGCTAACAGCCGCCCACTCCACCACTAGTCCACTGCCTCGACTGTACCGCCGCCCCCACGTGGCCGGCGCCGGCGCCACCGACCGACCGCCCGTGACGCCACGCCATCCAATCCGCCCGAATCCGCCCCGCAAGATTCCGCCGCCGAATTCCCCCGCCATAAATAGCCGCAAGTGTGACTGTGTGTGAGCACTGCAGCAGCAGCAGCCGCCATCACAGTCTCAGCTCACTCGCTCTTCTCCAGAGGAGGCGGCGGTCTCTCCTCCCCCCCTCGCCGTCTGCCGGAGATGAAGTGGGCCGCCGCCGCCGCCGCCACTGCCTCGGCCGCGGCCACCGCCGTCGCGTCCGCCGCCACCGCCGCCGCCACCGAGCGCTGCGTCACCCCATGCTCCAATCCCACGGCACGCTCCATCCCGAGACCTTTGTTCCTTGTGGCTGGGTGTGGATTGCTCACGCTCGCGCGTGTTTGTTTGTTACTTCTGCAGGGGTCGCCGGCGTCGAGGGGGAATGGGCGGAGGAGCGCGGCGGAGGACCGGTTCGCGCCGCGGTTCGACGGGCTGCGCTTCATCGAGACCCTCGTCACCGCTCACCGTTGAACCGCCATGGCAGAGCAGGATTCATGGCTTAGTTAGGTAGCTAGATTAGCATTCGCGAAGAGCAGAATGGATTTCAGTTAGCCTCAGGATGGGTGAAAGATGAACGAATTAGTTACTACTACCATCATTAATTGACTGTGCTGTTCTTCCTGCTTAATCTGAGTTTGAATTTTGTGCAAATTTTGGCAAACGTTTTTTTTCTTGGGCAGGTATATTGATTTGGCTCGCGTCGCATTTCGAGTATTCGATGCCTAGTAGAAGTACTGCTGCCTACTCCCTCCGGTCAAAAAAAAAAAAAAAAAAAAAAAAAGACAAACCTCCGGTCAAAAAAAAGACAAACCTGGTTTTCGTGTCCAACGTTTGACCATTTATTTTATTTAAAAAAATTATAAAAAAAAATAAAAAGACAAGTCACGCATAAAATATTAATCATGTTTTATCATCTAACAAAATGAAAATATGAATTATAAAAAAATTTCATATAAGACGGACAGTCAAAATTGGACACGGAAACCCAGGGTTTTGCCTTTTTTTTTACGGAGAGATACGGAAACTCAGGGTTTGTTTTTTTCGGAGTAATTACTTAAAGTTGACTTTCCGCTAAATGTCAGGCTTCAAGTACACATGACATGGTCGCCTCGCCTGCTAGTAAAGTGAATACTACTCCCGTCCGTTCATTATAAAACTAAAAAGATGCTCACTTTATTAAATTAACTATTTCTTATTTTATCAGCTTCTAATACATTTATTATTTTTATTTTCACTAACTTTAATTTACTAGTATTTGGAATAAACAGAAGAAGAAAAAATTAAACAACTTAGTACTATTTGGCAAGAGAGCGAGTAATACTAATGGTAACAGTGTGAAAAATAAAGTAACCCAAGGTGAAAATGGATGTGGGGCATCTCGCGCCGACCACGCAAAGAGAGCCAAATCTTCACAAGTGAGTGTGAACGCAGACAGATTCTCTGCCCCGTGATCCACTGTATTCCTATGCCTCTTTCTCTGTCCACGTTTGCGCTGTTCCCACCACTGGAACTCTGCAAATTGCCTTGCCTACTTTCCCCGCGGTTCTTCTCCACACGAATTTGGAATTCAGGGCGAGTTTGGCACAGCTCCAGCTCCATCCCTCCTAGAACTGGAGCTCAGCTAAACAGTTTTAGCTCTATCAAAACTGGGAATGAAGCTGGGTAAAACTCTCTCACAAAATGAACTAGAGTTGTGGAGCTGGGTTTAGGCAGCTCCACAACTCCACTCTATACCCAACTCCTGGAGTTAAATTTAGGAGTTGGAGCTGTACCAAAACAGCCTCTCAGTTTGTTTTTGGGTGGTTCTTCGAATTTAGGATTGAAAAAACCATAGAAACTAAAAGAACAACATATAATTTTAACAGAAATACGACTATAAAATAGAGAAATAGAAAACATAAAAAATTACAGAAATAATATTTGAGTATATCACATAAAAAATGAAGGAATCAAATAAAAGGGATAGACTTTAAAGAAAATTTTTCAAAAGGTACCAGCTCTTACTGATTTTTCTCTAAAATTTTTATATGATTGTCTACTGTAAAGGAATTTGAAAAGAAAAGGATAATAGTTGTTTGCTCAAGTCAAAGCGAGCACACCTATTTTCCTCGCCCGTAATAGTTGTTTTCGACAAGTCTTTCATCGACAATTAGAAATTAACAGCAGTACAGTGATGATTATTTAATAGTGTCATGTTACTTAATCTAATTTATTTTCCTACCAAATAAAGTTGACATTAACTTAGTATTGATTAGTTGGTTATCTAGTATACATGCCTATACTAATATTTTTTCCATGAATTTAGAGAAACCGTTAGGTTCAGTTTTTATGTTTAATGGTTTTCCCCGGATATTTTTCTAGTTATACATGAATAACATCTGGTTGAATCTTATCCCTAATCTCTGGATATCCTAAATTGGATATAGAACCGGCGGATGCATATGCATGTCTAATCAGTTCGACCATACATAAGCTAGCGATGACAATGTACACAGTATCCAATTATCCATCACAACGCATCACAAAGGTGCAAGGCGATCGATCGAGGTGCACCATATATTTTGGATAATTCATCCCAACACGCACTTTTGAATGGACATATAGCATCTCTCATGCAGCCTCATCTTGTTTTTCCTCTCCTTTAATTAATCTAGTACTCCATCTTTTGCACATAAAAAATGTGTACAGGAATGCATTTTGGAGGGAGGTATATTCTCGACGCACACGCACTGCCCCTATCTCCGAAAAGCACGTCCAACCAAACCAGAAAGCCGACGAGGGAGGGACAGCATGACGGAACAACAGCGACGGCCCCGGTTGATCGATGCATGATCCTTACATATTTATATTCAACAACTTTTAGGCTCTGTTTATTTCGCTAGACGAAAAGTTTTGGCGTGTCACATCGGATATACAGACACACATTTAAAGTATTAAACATAGAAAAAACTAATTACACATATTGCGTGTAAATTACGAGACGAATTTATTAAGCCTAATTAATCTGTCATTAGCAAATGTTTACTGTAGCACCACATTATCAAATCATAGAACGCTTAGGCTTAAAAGATTCGTCTCGCAATTTACATATAATCTGTGTAATTAGTTTTGTTTGGTGAAAAGATTTTGTTTGTAAACTAAATAGGGCCTTAATTTCATTTCTTTATGATTATTAGGTCGTTCATTTATCTAGCCATGATGCATGTGTGGTCCACTCATCAAGCTTGAAAAAAAATATATAACAAAAGCGAAAGAAGCTAAAACTGAAACTGTATATAAAAATAACTCCCATGGAACTGGCAATTTGGATGAGGCCGGTTGTCACAATCCGTGGCGACGCAAGCGCTTGCGTGAGGCGCCGGGTGAATGGATCAATCGAATGGAACGGCACTAACATTAACATAACGGGGAAGTATGCGTATGATGCAAATATGGAGCATATCTACTATCGGTTGGGCGCCTTCCTCGGCTGGGGACTGCTTTCTCCCCACGCGATGCTCCCAGCCATGCGTACATTCCACGGCGACGACGACGTTACTTCCCCTCGCTTTCCCCGTCTTCTTTTTTCTCCGAAGATGATGTTCAGCTAGCGGGTCTCACTGAACTGTGGCCCATGAAACATGCTAAATTGCCAATTGCCGACATCCTCCCTTGGTCTTTGAGGTTAGGCGGGTCTGCTGTGCTATAGACATATTAATTACGCTCCCCTTCTCGAAATATAAGGAATTTTAGATGAATGGGACATTATCTGTCTAGATTCGTATTATTAGGAAATGTAATCACCGACGGATCTGATGGATGGTCTGGTGGTCCCCGGACCACCTAAAAAATTGCCGACCCAAGGCCCATGTAGGTAGGTACGGCAAAAAAAAAATCCCATAAAATATATTGCCGTATCATGTGGGTTGCTAACTGGCGCGCGCACGTCAGCAACGGAGGTCTCGCGCGCCCTAGCTGGTACCTTCTGTTTCTTTTTTTTTTCCCTTTTGTGATTTTCACTTTTTTGGTGTTTTTTTTTATTTTTTTTAATCTTCAGCACATGTATTTTTAGATCTTTGGGTTGAAAGTTTTTAGATTTGAAGTTGAAAGTTTTCAGATCTGGTTTCGAAAGTTTTCAAATCTCGAGCTGAAAATTTTCAAATCCGAGTTGAAAGTTTTCAAAATTTGTGTTACAAATTTAAATTTCGAGTTTGTCGAGGGAAGACCCCCGATCGCGGGGAGTCGCGTGACCCCCCTTTCGTGAGTTCGGCCGAGGTCAGAGACTCATCTCTCCGAAGTCGCGTGTTCGTCCCTCCGATTCCCGGTTAGAAAGCACACAAGTCGATTACCCAGGTTCAGGCCGCTCTGGAGTGTAACACCCTACTCCTGCGTTTGGGATTATCAATGAACTTTTTTACAAGGTTCCCCTTGCCTCCTTCTCTTCCTCTCTCTCTAGCCCCCCTCTTTTGGTGGGCAAGGTCCTCCTTTTATAGCTTAAGGGGATACCACATGCGCCGTTTCTACCCTTCCCCTCCATCGGAGGGAGGGGAGGGGGCCCTTCTCCCTACTGCCACCGGGTTTCAACCCGTGCCTTTTGCTGGAAGCTAAGCATCGGTCGGTCCTTGAGTGGGGCCCAGCGCCGTCTCCCGCCTGACACGGGGGGCAGCCCTGTCATTCCCTCATAAATGAATGAGGACTTGCGGTAGCCCTGCATCGACCGACGCCCGGATGTGACGGGGCGTACCTACCGCCACTCCGCGGAGACAGAGGCGACGTGGGGGCACGACCACCCGTTCAATCGACCATGACCGGCAATAGACTGGTCACAGACCGGTCGCATCCGACTGACAGGAGTCGGTCGGGCACGCCGCACGTCTGCCCTCGCCGCATTGAATGCAGCAAGGGACGGTTGGGGCGCTGCACATTTATGGCCGCCTAGCCTGGACTCCCCTCTCACACTTCCCCCCGAGAGAGGGCCTCGGGCTAAAACGACGAGAGAGCCCGAGGGGGTGACGTCACCCCCGAGGGGATGTCGTCGACCCCCGAGGCTCTCCCCATCGCCTTAGTGACTCACGAGGTATACAGGTGGGACCAGCTCGCAGAGCCACGTGGCTGGAAAGGGAAGCAGCTCTCCTTTACTCCGCATACTCCTTTACTCCGCATACCCCCGGGCCCATATCTCCGACAGAGTTGAAAATTTTTAAAGTTTGAGTTGAAAGTTTTTAAAATTTGACTTTAAAGTTTAAATCTTAAGTCCAAAATTTTCAAATCTAACTTGAAAGTTTTCAATTTGTTAGTAAAAAATTTCTCCAAAAAAATAGTATCCTCTTAATTTTGTCATTATTCTTAACTAACTAACTAGCTACTTAACTCATCAAAATGCGCGTTAGCGGTGCGTGCGTGCGTGCTAATTAGCTTTTCCGCGTATCATCTGCTCGCCTCGCGTATCGGCCTACTTGTTACTGTTAGGGCTCCTGGTGGCCTGGTTGGCATGCCTGATCCTTCTCGGTGACCAGCGTCCACGTGCGGTGATCGGGGCCGACGATCGAGTGGCGACGGCAAGGCCGCAGCAAGGGGTGGCCACGCGACGTGCATATGTAGAGGACAACGGCGGCGGCGGCAAGCCGGCACCGGCACGGGCGCACGTACGGTGGTTGGCCGGCGGAAAGTGGCACCGAGCCAAGGAAGCAAGGCAGGGCAGATGATTAGGCCTTATTCGTTTCGAAGGATTCCTAAAGGAAATCTCAATTCCTATGCAATAAGCACTATCCATGCATTCGGTTTGTAGGATTCAAAGAAAAATTTTCCATAGAAACGCTATGCCAATCCTCCAAAAATCCTCCAAAATATACTAATTCCACAGAAATGACAACATCCACTCCATCCTTTTTTGTTTAGCTAAGTATAGGAAAAATTTCTGTGTTCCAATCCTTTGTTTTGCACGTGCATTCCTAAATTATTTTTACGTTTTTCATATTCCTATGATTTTAAAATCCTGTGAACCGAATAGACCCTTATTGATTAGCCGATTAGATTTTCTCTTCTATTCAATTCATCTCAGCTGGGATGCGTCACGAACGAACGCAGACGGCGAGCGGAGGCGGGGGGCAGTCAGTGGCGTCGGAAAGGTAGGACGGCGAGTGAAGGCAGTGGCGCGTCGCAGATGGAGGCGGTCTCCGCTTTCTCTTCCTTACCGCACACATTCAACTTCTTCCTCGAGCACTTCATCCATTTCTGCCATTTGCCGCTCCCGACTTTGGCATCATTGGATCCAACCTAATATGATCGATCACTTGATCAGAAATAGGTATGGGTTTATCGAAAACCACAGAGAAGTTGGTCACGGACGTTAGTTTCTTTCCATTCACAAATCACTGATCGAAGTAGCTCCAGTCCATCCCTGTCTCTCCAACAAAAAAAAAAAAGTCTAATTCGATCCAAAAACAGTGATGGTTCCATTATACCCTACTTGGTCCTCAGACCAAATACATGTTTAAAGCCCACAAATTTTCAATGTTTCAATGTATCGTGCAAACAAACGACGGTGTTTGAGAAAGATTAAGGGAAAGATAAACTAAAAAATTATTAAGGCATGATTAATTGGATTTTAACTAATATAAATTTAAAAATATATTTATTTAATATTTTAAGACAAGTTTTATATAGTTTTCTTTTAAAAAAACCACATCATTTATTTGAAAAGTATAATAACACAAACCGAGGTTATATCCTAGTCTGAAAAAACTTGCAACATCATCTTTTCGCTTTTGCTTATACTAATCAGCCAAAATTTAAATTTTCACCCTTAAATTTAAAGTTAATTTTGGGATTTTTCAATCATAGTTTATTTTCGGTCTTTGCTTTAAGATCACTAAAAACACGTATATAAAAGTTTTATTCATAAATTATTTTTTTATTTACAAATATACCGTTTCGCATTTTCCTCCAGTATGTCAAACGATGGGGCTGTTAGGGTATCCCAATAGAAGCCACACCTATCAGTGGCCTCACATGGGTCATACAAGCTGAGACCACACATGAGAAACATATCTCCCAATAGAAGACACTCCAAATGCCCCTACAAAAAATCTGAGGCAAGTGTCCGAAGACACACTAGCCCACAATGTCCCACAACGTGTGTTCTCTAGCCCATGGAGCCCATGTGCATTTTACTATCCTACCCCTACGTTTTATTTTAGCCCGGCCTCTTTTTCTCCGTCACCCGTCGCCTATCTCTCTATCTCTTTCGCCACCGCTTGCCTCTCTCTCCAGCCGCTCACCGCTGTCTCTCTCCCTCCTCACAACGAGAGGGGCGAGCGGTGCACGAGGTGGCTGGCAGCGCGGGGTGGCTGACAGTGCTGGTTGCTGGTTCCCTTCTTCCTCCGCCAGTCACCGCCTCTCTCTCTCTCTCCACGGTTGGTCGGGAGGCTGGATCTAGTGGGTTGCTGCGTTGTCGCTAGGTTGTCGCTGTTGCACCGCCTCCAGCTCGTCCACTACCTCACCACCTCCGGCCAAGGGTAGAAGGGAAAGATACATATGCGGAGCAGAGACCATGAAAGACTTAGCCACGACATCGTCCAACATGGAGCCTAGCTCCGTGGCTTGATGAAAAGGGGCCGAGTAGCACAGTGAGGTGTGTGTCTCATAGAGAAGTCGTGCCCCTCTTACGAGAGATGGATCCGGTCCTAAAAGAAACGTTCGCATGGACAACCTTATAGCCACAGTACAAAGGGTAACAGTACAGGTGGAAAGATTTTTCCCCCGAGGCAGAGCTCGTCAACGCGAGGTGGGAGTGGACGAGCAGTTGACCCAACGAAATGTACAGTACAGTACGTGGAGGAGCAGCAAATGCAGACCGGCCGTGGCGTGGCAGGCAGCCATCACATTCACCGAGGTTCCGCTCCGCTCCGCTCGTCTGCGGATCGCCGCTCTCTGTCTCAACCACCCGCACAGACGAGCTCCGGGCGCCGAGCGGGTGGGCCCCACCGGACGCGACGCGGAAAAAACTCCAATCCGATTAATTCCCCCAACACGCCACATCCGCCCCTCCTCCGCTATAATTAAAACGCGACTAGCCGACGGCGCACTCCGCCATTTCCTCCTCCACCGCCTACCGCATCTCCTCGCGTTCACACCACGCACCCGAATCTTCCGCGCCTACCGGACGCCGGTGGGCCACGCCGCGCTTCGGTCGGCGCGTCGCCGGAGGAAGGAGGAGGAGCCGTCTCGTTGCCATGAAGTGGGGGATCGCCGCCGCCGTCGCGTCCGCCGCCGCCGTGGCCGCCGCGTCAGGGGCCGAGCTGCTCGCCTGCGACTGCGCCGATCAGCCGCCGCAGCAGCAGGAGGCCGCCGCCGCCGCCGTCGGGAGGTGCGACGCCTTCCTCGTCCGCCACAACCAGGTTTGCCTCCCCGATCCCCTTCTTCTTCTCCCCCTCTCTTCTTCCTCGATCTCCTCTGATCCCCTTTTCTCCTTTTGGCTCGTCAGGGTTCGTCGTTGTCAAGGGACGCGGAACGCGCGGCGGCGGCGGCGGCGGGGGAGCAGCGTGTGGAGGGGAAGAAGTTCGCGCCGCGGTTCGACGGCCTCCGATTCATCGAGACGCTCGTCACGGCGCACCGCTGAACTGGGGCTGAGATTCCTTCCTTCCTTCCTCCCGTGATTCGGCGGAGGAAGAGGAGGAGGAGACGCCAGATGCGCGCGTGATCCTTCGGCGATTTAGATGCAGCGCCAAGAAGTTTTGTTAGGACAATTGAGAAATTGAGGCTTTGAAATCTTTCCTCTTCTTTCTGTTTGCTTTTCTTTCTAATTTCTTCTTATTTTCCCCCCTTTCTATTGTTACTGCTATTGCTGTTGACAATTATGGTGATCCTTGTTAAGCTGAGGCGATAATTGTGATGATTTATGTAAATTGCGAGCCATGATTGATTCTTCATCCAATTTCTTAGGACTGTTCATGATATGATGTTGATATCCGCCTCCTCTATCTTAGCATCCCAAGGGATGTGGGTGTCTCTGCTGTACCTTGCTTACCCATGTCTGTCCTTATTCTCAGCTTGTTTCTTTTCCCTTCTTTTTCTTCTTTGATATGGTTTCTTTTTTTTTAATTATTTTCTTGATGTGATCTCTTTCCCTCCATGTTGGTGGATTGAATTGCTGCATGTGTGTGTGGCAACAAATTGGTGCTTTGTCATCACTCATCAAGAGTTGTGATGCTATTGGCACCTGTGATTGTGATGTTATTGTGGCAAGGGGCCATGTGATGTGGCTGCTTGCTCTCCATGCTTTCCATTTCTACTCCTGCTTTTCTTGATTGGATTTGTATGTGATCAAGATTTCGAATGGATGGGATCAACCTGAGCAGGATGTCCGAATTGAACCGTTTATCAGCAAGCTGGTGACATTGATGGGCAGAATGGATGCAGGAGGCATTGCTGGAAAGGAAGTACAGTACTGGAGATGATTAGGGCTGCGTTTTATGTGCAAATGAATGGGACAGGATCACGGAAGGGACTCTGGAGCATGTTCCTCCCAACTTCCTTTTTCCAAACCCTTTCTTTCGTTGTTTATTGTACCAGCATGACACATGTAGTGGAAGGCAAGAAAATTGGACAAATTTTGTAGTGTCCAAACTTTTTTTTTCATATTTGTAGTGTCCAAACTTTTTTTTTTTCATATTTGTAGTGTCCAAACTTTTTTTTTTCATAGTTATTGATTATAACAGCCTGGTACATGTGGAAGCACAAAAACTGGACAGTTCTTTACACTGTACAAACAAATTGGCTGGCCTGAAAAGGAATATCCAAGGATGAAGTTGCCCTGCCCGGGTTTACCTTACCGCCGATAACCGCGTGGTTACCGGGCTTACCGCGGGGTACGGTAATATAAATATCACGGTAACCTTCTTAAATTCAAATAAATTTAAAAAAAATTGAATTTTTGATAAATTTTGCACGGTTTTATACGATTTTTCACGGTTACCGCGCGGTAACCGTACTTACCGCTGGGACGCGGTAACCCTGGCCCCGGCGGTTTGGGAAACCCTAGCCATGCCCGCATGTGCACATGATTTAATTTATTTTTGGCTGGAGAATTGATTGTATTTTTTTCTATTGTAAATTACAAACCAGTATGACGGAATCGATTTTATAACACATGCCTCTCGTGCTGTATGAGTTTTTTCTTTTAAAAAAAAAGAACAGCAAAGAGAACCTATTCAGGTATTTTCAAAATCTACTATTCATAACTGCGGGAAAAGACAAGCAAATATTTATCTTATTAATAGTATTTTCACCGTCGGTAATAGAAAAACGGCAAAATTTGCTACAGGACACTCAAAAAATATGTAATTAGTTGTCGGACACCGCAAAGACGTGAATTTGCTCTAGTACACTCCAAAAGTGTGGTAATTTGCTGCAGGACACTAGGCGCATTAAAATATAATATCCACCCAATTGATGAGAGAGAAACCAAATAAAATGACAGTTTTACTCTCATCTTCTTATCTCTTCTTCCTGTCTTTTTCCGTCGCTCCTCTCACGTGTGCAAATTTCTTAGATTAACGTACAGTGAGGGAAATTACACCTAAGTACAGAATTGATGATGCTGCTGATTTCTTGGCTAATTAACAGATTATGGTGTTGATTAACTAATTACTCCTTGCTAGTTTTACTAGGCCTCCAAAAATTTTTAGACGGAGTAGTCGAAGACGATGGAGAACCTTCTCGAATTAAATTTGAAAATATACTGTTCATTCGATTTTTTCTCACAAATATTCGGGATGCAAAATATTTTACAGAAATATACCGTCGGTCTCGCACAACCGTTGCGCGAAAGTGACATAGGAAAGACGTCGTGGACGGTATCGCGCAGGGAAAGCATGAGACCGCACGGTCTCGCGGATTGGAATAGCGAGACCGAGCGGACTAAAAGAGACATCTCGCGGTCTCGCTCATTGCACGAGCGATACCGGTCCAGTGCCGATGTAATTAGTGATTAATGATTCTAATTAGTGATTAATTAATTATTAATTAATCATTAATTAGGATAATTAATCACTAATTATTATTAGTTAATTGTTAATTAAGTAATTAATCACTAATCAAATCGAGCCGTCCGACTGTGTCGCTGTTTGATTTTGCGAGACCGTTCGGTCTCTCTCTTCCATTCCGCGAGACCGCTCGGGACGTCATTCCCACATCACTCTCGCGCAACGGTTGAGCGAGACCGATGGTATATTTGTGTAAAAAGTTTTGCATCTCGAATATTATTGAGAAAAAATTAAATAAACAGTATATTTTCAAATTTAATTCGAACCTTCTCCGGGAGAAGGAGCGGCTCGACGAGTGCGGGCTTGACAGCGGCGAGGAGCATTGCGGTGGCGGGTAACGATGGTGGCGATCGTCGGCGTAGCACACCACACAGAGCGCATCCATGGATACCACCTGCTGCATCTCGTGCACGTCGGCTTCGGTGGCAGCCGGCCGCCACTGGATGCTACGCCGAGGACTCCTCGAGAAGCAACACGCCTTCTCCTCCTCCTCCTTGCTGTGTGCTCCCGTAGGCAGGGCTCATAGACCCCCGTGTGCTGGCACCTCACACCCTCCGACAACAAAAGAAGACTAGGAGAAGGAAGAAGATAAGGGCAAAATAGTCATTTCACGTGGTTTCTCTCTCATTAGTTGGGCATATATTATATTTTAATGCGCCCAGTGTCCTGCAGCAAATTACCACATTTTTGGAGTGTCCTAGAGTAAATTCACGTCTTTACGGTGTCCGACAGCTAATTACACATTTTTTGAGTGTCCTAGAGCAAATTTTGCCTAGAAAAACGTGTCTCACATGTGAAACGAAACAATCACTTACTCCCTCCGTTCCAAAATAAGCGCAATCATGAGTTTCCGTTTCTAACTTTATTCGTCCATCTTATTTAATTTTTTTTAAAAAATAAAAAACATAAGTCAAACATAAAATAATATTCATGTTTTATAATCTAATAACAACAAAAATACTAATCATAAATTTTTTTTAAATAAGACGATCAATCAAAGTTGGACACTGAAACCCATAGCTGCACTTATTTTAGGACGGATGGAGTAATAAAAAAAACTCGTTTCCAATCTGAGCACGGCAACACCACAACCGCTACCTGTGGCCTCAAGCCGCAGGATTGAGATCCTGCCTGACGACACATCGGGACCACATGTCAATTATAAAGGCACGGTGCAGTGACTGCAGAGGATCCTGATCCCAAGCTGCGACCTGCGTCTCCCTTGTCATAAAAACGAGACCCATGGCGGTCAGTTGCCTTTTGAGCTAACAAAGATCTTTTTCTAGTGGGTTCCATGAATCTGCCTTCAAGTGTATATAAATTTTATGACTGTGATTATTCCCTTCATTTCATATTATTTTTTTTCACTCAACCACCTTTAGCTATTAATTATTTTTGTTTCATTGATTCACTAGTTGCATACGTAATAGTTCGTTTTCTTAAAAAAAAATAGGAGATACTTCCTCCGTTTTATATCATAAGTCATTTTGACTTTCTAAGATAAACTTATTGAAAGTTTGACCAAATTTATAGAAAAATATAGCAACACTTATAGAACTAATTAGTTTCATTACATCTAAGGTTGAACATATATTTTTTTTGTGTTGTGTTGAAAATATTGGTATATTTTTCTATAAACTTGGTGAAATCAATAAAAAAATTGACTTAGAAAAAAATCAAAACGACTTAAAATATGAAAGAGAGGTAATACATTTTGTTTTCTTAATGTATAGGGGTGGGGTTTGATTCATCTTCCGCACGCTCGCCAAGCCCAAGAGATGATTTCAGCCTAACACGCTAATAAAAAGGAGTTTTCACATGAGTCCCCCTTTACTCTTTGTTTACATTTAGATCTGTATATTAATTTGTCGTTTTATGTACCCTGACATAGTTTCCTGGACAAAGGTTTATACACAATAGACTGAAAATGTGGGCTAAATTTCTGAGCATGACAAACTCTATATGCTAAATTTCTGAACATGACAAACTCTATATGCCTATAATAGCATGTTTAGACCTACCTGTGACTTATTTCTTGTGTTTGACTTCAGAATTTTGTTCCTAGGACATAGGTTATGGACCTTGGGCAAGCAAGTAGAAGAGTAGCTGCAGCAATCTTGATTTCAGATATACAGTATATCATAACTGGCCATCATTCAACATAAAATATTCAGCTCAAACAGGAATAGGCACTATCTGTGCTGACATAGCATATAAAAACATTCAGAACCTATTCATATTGATGCCATTTTAAACCATACCATCTTTTTGATAAAATCTAACATGTGGATGCATTAGGTTTGTTACCAAACATTGGTTATGCACTAATGCTTATGAAACTTGGCAACATCATAGTAAGTTACCAAAATCTGGGCAGGTCAAATGTTGCCAAAATTTGGTAATGTATATGTGGGCACTAAACTAAACAGATAAACAACAGCCTACCATGTTGGTAACATACCAAATTTGGAAATGTTTATTTTGGCATCAATCTGAACAGGCTATCAAATTTCAGCCATTGTTTGACATCAATAGATTCGACCTTGAGGCTTGAGGTCCTAGACCACACATATGCTACAAGAAGAGTGTCACAGCAAAGATAGTGCCACAAGATTAATAATGATTAAATCTGGAGTGTCAGCTCTTGATTAATTCTGATAGGGAATAAGGCAATGTGTAGTTGTGTACTATACAATAAATAAACTAAACTATAGTTTAGAGATGTCGCCGAATTTCACCATAGCAAATCACTTCATTTTAACATTAAAGCAGGATTCGAAATTTTGAAACCACCCCCCCCCCCCACAACATGAAATGATTTCAACTAAAACTTTTGGATTTTGTGAATTTGATGAAAAGAAATGTTCAAATTCAAGAATTCAAATTATTTCGGAAATTATGGTCATATCGGTGATCCCGATAAAAATAGCGAAAACAAATATTTGAATCCTGAATTAAAGTATAGGGTTTCCTAAAAAGTTTAAGTGAACAGAGACCTCATAACTTTTAATTCAAAATCATAAAATGACAGCGGGAAAAACTCAATAAGCAACTATCTAACACAAGTTAACACTGTGCCAGAAGTTAGGTTCCTCTGCCCATTATCAAGTATCCACAATTCTACACATTTGTGAAGAGAATGAAGGCTATTATCAGTCTGATTAGCAGTACCCACACTTCACATTCTAATCACACAGCTAATCAGCTAGCTATTCTAATTTATGATGCAAACTTGCAAATTATCAGCCAACATTTCATTCGATTAACATATCACAAGAAAATTGCATGTCTTAAAGCAGCATTTTCATGAATTATTTTGGAGCAATGCATTCAAACCGAAAAGAGGAACGCCTGACCCAAACTATCTGAAGATTACCTTATAAGTCTATACGAACGAGGGCTATCATAGCCCGGCTATGACAAACTTGGCACAAACCAAGTGCAAGCATGCATCGAGGGGCCAGGCAACTCTTCGATTTGGCCATCCTCCATCCTGAACCGGTAGATGAAAGACCTGCTGGCTCTGTCCATCTTGAAGAAGTAAACACAATTCCCCTCAAGCCCCGCGAAATCCGCGGCGCGGAGCGAGAATCCCTGGTAGAGACCAACGAACAGCATTCTGTCTCTAATGCTCCTCATCTGAACCCACCGCGATTTCTCCCCCGCAATCTCTAGCCGGTGAACCTCCAATGCACAGCAATCCTCCAGCAATTCTCCTGCTTGTTCACTGTTCTTGCTCCTGAAGTACCGAATCACGCACAGGAGATCATCGCCGGACGGGAATAGGCACTATCTGTGCTGACATAGCATATAAAAACATTCAGGACCCATTCAGATTGATGCCATTTTAATCCATACCATCTTTTTGATAAAATCTAACATGTGGATGCATTAGGTTTGCTACCAGACATTGGTTATGCACTAATGTTTATGAAATTTGGCAACATCATAGTAAGTTACCAAAATCTGGACAGGCCAAATGTTGCCAAAATTTGGTAATGTATATCTGGGCACTAAACTAAACACATAAAAAATAGCCTACCATGTTGGTAACTTACCAAAATTTGGAAAGTTTTATTTTGGCATCAATAGGTTGGACCTTGAGGTCCTAGACCACACATATGCTACAAGAAGAGTGTCACAGCAAAGATAGTGCCACAAGATTAATAATGATTAAATATGGAGTGTCAGCTCTTGATTAATTCTGATAGGGAATATGGCAATATGTATTGTACAATAAATAAACTAAACTATAGTTTAGAGATGTTGCCAAATTTCACCATGGCAAATCACTTCATTTTAACATTAAAGCAGGATTCGAAATTGTGAACCCCCCAACACGAAATGATTTCAACTAAAACTTTTGGAATTTTTTGTGAATTTGATAAAAAGAAATGTTCATATTTGACCAAATTTTGTTCAAGAATTCAAATTATTTCGGAAATTATGGTCATATCGGTAAAATTTGAATGAAAGTATAGGACTTCTTAACAAGTTTAAGTGAACAGAGATCTCATAATTTTTAATTCAAAATCACAAAATGACAGCGGGAATAACTCAATAAGCAACTATCTAACACAAGTTAACACTGTGTCAGAAGTTAGGTTCCTCTGCCCATTTATCTAATCATAGATATTTGCATACATGAATTTGCTTCAATGTCGCAAGGTTGGCACTGATATCAAGAAGAATTCACAGGTAATGAAAATAACTGACTATCTCGAACTCCAAGAAGTATCCACAATTCTACACATTTGTGAAGAGAATGAAGGCAATTATCAGTCTGATTAGCAGTACCCAAACTTTACATTCCAATCACACAGCTAATCAGCTAGCTATTCTAATTTATGATGCAAACTTGCAAATTATCAGCCAACATTTCATTCGATTAACATATCACAAGAAAATTGCATGTCTTAAAGCAGCATTTTCATGAATTATTTTGGAGCAATGTATTCAAACCAAAAAGAGGAACGCCTGACCAAAACTATCTGAAGATTACCTTATAAGTCCACGAATGAGGGCTATGACAAACTTGGCACAAACCAAGTGCAAGCATGCATTGAGGGGCCAGGCAACTCTTCGATTTGACCATCCTCCATGCTGAACCGGTAGATGAAAGACCTGCTGGCTCTGTCCATCTTGAAGAAGTAAACACAATTCCCCTCAAGCCCCGCGAAATCCGCGGCGCGGAGCGAGAATCCCTGGTAGAGACCAACGAACAGCATTCTGTCTCCAATGCTCCTCATCTGAACCCACCGCGATTTCTCCCCCGCAATCTCTAGCCGGTGAACCTCCAATGCACGGCAATCCTCCAGCAATTCTCCTGCTTGTTCTGTGTTCTTGCGCCTGAAGTACCGAATCACGCACAGGAGATCATCGCCGGACGGGACGAAGGATGAGCACTTGAAGGCATCCCTGTGCAGGGTCACCGGCGGTGGTGGCGGCGGCGCAGCGTCACCGAGCACGGCAAGCGTGGCGGCGTCGAAGATGGTGAGGTGGCCGCGGTCGTTGCAGACGAACACCTTCCCGGCGTGGTACATGTTCTCGGCGACGAGGTCCACCACCGGCACCGTCGTCCACCCGCCGCCGCCGCCGGCGGGGTGGTGGAAGAAGATCCTCCTGGTGTCGTAGAGCACCACCGGCGAGTCGGGACCGGGGAGGTAGTAGCCCTGGGTGATGGGGGAGAAGGCGTCGAAGGGGGAAGGCGGGAGGGGGAGGTCGGCGCCGGTGAGGGGGTTGACGAGGAGGAGGAGGGGGCCGTGGTCGGAGAAGAGGAGGTGGGAGTTTGTGTGGCCGAGGAGGGAGCAGGTGGCGGAGGGGGCGGCGACGGAGCGGAGGGCGGCGGAGGAGAGGGAGTAGAAGGAGAGGGAGGGGCCGGGGCCGGCGGTGGGGTTGATGGGGGCGGGGCGGGCAAGGAGCCATGGGAGGAAGGGAGGAGGGGAGGCCGCTGCGGCGGCGGTGGCGGCGCGCCACGCGCGGCAGACGGCGCGGAAGCGGAGGAAGTCGAGTGGGTCGTGGAGGCGGCCGGAGAAGAGGCGGAGGAGGTCGCCGGGGAGGCCTGACCAGTCCATTCGCGGCGGCGGAGGCTACGGCGGCAGCGCGTCTTGAATGTTTCAGATTGGGGAGACGGCGAAATGGCTCCTATTTTTTGTTTCTTTTTTTCCATTTTGCTACGAATCTGTCGCGTGATTTGTTTTGATGATAGGATGTGTTTAGTTCACACTAAAATTAAAAATATGTTAAAATTAAAACGATGTGACGAAAAAGTTAAAAGTTTATTTATGTAGAAAAATTTTGATGTGATAAAAAAGTTAGATGTTTGAAGAAAAAATTTTGGAACTAAACTCGGCTATACTTGTCTCATCAATTAACGAGCCAGAGGGACCATTAAAGCTGAGATGCTTGTATTTTGGAAAGGAGGAATTGACAGCTTAGCATGGCCATTTTATGCTTTAACCCATTGGCTGTGTTTAGTTCAGCGTAAAGTTTGGATTTCAATTGAAATTAGAGATGATGTAACTGAAAAGTTATGTGTGTATGACAGGTTGATGTGATGAAAAAGGACTGAAGTTTGGATCCAAATTTTAGATCTAAACACAGCCATTGTTTTGTTTGTTATACAGAGAAACCCTCTTGGTATAAAGCTAACCAGTTGAACAAACACATACAAATGACAAAAGCTGGGACCATAATGTTGAAGCAACATTGTTCATATATATTGAAAACCAACAGTAACGAAAATCCTGCTCCGTAAGATTCACAAGGATCCAGCATATACATATCGCAAGCCACAATATTAGGGGAAGTGTCATATTTACAGGTGTCAAAAGATGAATACAATTGACCAAAAAAAAGCTTATACTCGAACAGGATAATGGACAGACGACTTATTGACTGGATGCAGCAGCCACTGATTGGAATTTGATAGTCAGAAATTACAAGATGAATCAGGTCCTAAGATAAGACGATCATGAGTTGGTACAAATGGCTAACACAACAGACAAGACCCACGACTATCAACTCTTTCACAGAAAAGTGGAACAAAGATATATGATCACAGACGCTCATCTCTTAATGAGAAAACCAAGCAGGATTCTCAGAATAGCAATAACCAGCACAAAAACTAGTGAGAAACCACCGTTCTGACTCCCCATTTGCCTCCTTAGAAGATCCTGTTCAATTCCAATAGAAGATAAATGAAACTACGTGAGTGTTGCAGTTCAGATTCAGATTTCATTGATGCACAAAGCCATAATAGACAAACAAGATGATATTTGTAGATAACGAAATACATCTGTACTTGTAGAAATTAGTGGGTTGCAAATAAACTTGACAAAAAAGTTAAAAAAAAATAAATAAAGCGCATGTAAACTGCTTATTCTATCTATCTAACTCAAAGCTAAAAATTGTATTAGTGTTTTTTTCCGGTGGACTGGTCACTGCTGGCCACAGTAAAAGAACAGGGAATGAGTAAATCATGTGGTGATTATTTATTGGAGATGCAAATTTAGCGACAAAGCTGTTACTCAAACCTAACTAGTTTTTTTTTTTTTGGGGGGGGGGGGGGTAAGTTAATCTAGTTCTTACTGCCAAAGTTAAAAAATATAATGGGTCATTAAATGTTTGCATAATCAAGCTAACCAGTTCTTCTTGAAGCTTCATGTTCTGTTGAATGGCAGAACTCTTCTCCTCCTTCAACTTTGAAATCAAGGCCAATGGCTGCACATAGCTGTGAAAGAGATCAGCTTATTGTGCTTTGGCATCATTGTCAAGCAACATAGGAAGTCGGAATCCTCTATAATAAGACCTCTCAGTTCCTCAGTTTGTAACAAAAGTAAAATGCTAACAAAGTGAATATATGCTAGAAGATGAAGCATCCCTCAGATTAAGTTACCATTTGCATCTAAATATGTTGAGATGAAAAGCCATGATTTATGCAAGGAGAACATTAATCAAAATATCATTAGAGCAAGAATATTGGCAAGCAAAAAAAAAATGTTATAGTAGTGTGTGAAATTAGGATTCAGTGATAACATGGCATTGTCAAATTTAACAGGAGAACAATGCAACATATATATCAAGCAAAGTCCGTAGTTTTCCCCAGGGAAAAAACAAAGAGCATAGCATAAAACAGCACACACATAGTTCTGTTGGATCAGAGTTCTAAAACAAGTGTCATGCAGAGGACTAGGAAATAAGAAGAGCACAGCAACACTGTAAAATATAATTAAACAACTTCTGAAGCAATGCTCTTGGATAAAATCAGACATAGTAGTATCTCTAAATTATGACACCTATCAGAAGAAAACATAGATGTTTCCCATCTGAAGATGCATACCTCAGAGGTTACTGTTTCTTATTCTCTAGATCCTTTTGTTGCCTGCAAAGAAAAGTTCACAATTTGTTTCAGATGATAAGGAAATGAATCTCTCTGAAACGAGAAATTTAACTATTTGCCACTTTAGGTTTGCCAATTATCCAAATGCCCTTATTAGGTTTGTCCTTAATTTTTTTTGCCCTTTTAAGGTGGTGGCATCTTAACTATTTGCCACTTTTGCCCATGTGGCATGCCAACATGGCAACACAGTGTAAAAATCGACGTGGGACACACTTGTGAGCCGCACAGCTATCCCCTTCCTCTCGCTCTCCGGCCTACCCGTCGGCTGCCAGCGTTGCTCCTCTCGGCGACGGCGGTGCACCGGCTTGCAGTTGCGGAGGAGGAGGGGGAGCCGAGCGCCGCCGAGAGTCCGACCTCGCTTCACCGCGCTCAGCTGCAACCGCAGGATTCGCCAAGATCCGCGGAGCCGTCCGCGTTGTCAGTGGATGGCCGAGGAGGGAGGGACGCCGTCGTCGGCCGATTGAAAGCCGTGGTTGCGGCCGAGCACAACGAGGTGGAGGTCAGACTCGCAACGGCACTCGGCTCCCCCTCCTCCTTCCATGGCTCCATGGTGAGAGAGACAGGCGCTCGGCGAGGACGGCGACCACCGTCGGTGCAAACAACGTGAGCATGACCTCGCACGTCCAGTCTAGTGCGTACATCCTCGACTACGGTGGCGCTCGGCTCCCCCTCCTCCGCCGCCGCGAGCCGGCACGCCGTCGCCGCTGCCGACATGGTTCGCCTCTGGGAAAGAGAGGAGCAGCGCTCGGCTCCCCCTCCTCCTCCGCAGCCGCGAGCCGGCGCATCGCCACCGCCGCCGCTGGGAAAGAGAGGAGTAGCGACGGAAGCCGATGGGTATGTCGGAGAGCGAGAGAGGGGGAAAGAGGATAGCTGTGCGGCTAACAAGTGGGTCCCACATCGATTTTTACACTGTGTTGCCATGTTGGCATGCCACAGTGGCAAATAGTTAAGATGCCACCACATTATAGGGGCAAAAAAAAATTAAGGACAAACCTAAGAAAGAAGGGTATTTGGATAATTGGTAAACGTAAAAATGGCAAATAGTTAAATTCCCCCTGAACCCCCACCAAATTGAAGCCCCCAAAAGTACAACGCACAAAGCCTCCATGGGAAGGAAATGCAAAGATAGTGCCACCGCACAAACACATCCCGCAGGTGGCGGCGGATCTAGGGCTTGGGGTGCTGGTGCTCGGCGTCTTCGGCTAGGAGCAAGGAGACGCTGGATGAGATGAAGAGGGTAGAGGCGGTGGCCGTCGGCGGGGGTTAGGCTGGTGGCCTGTGGCGGAGGAGGCAGCGCGGGGTGTAGAAGGAGAGGGAGGGGCGGGTGGTGTGCTGGAACTGGAAGGGATCGGAGGAGGGGAGGCCGCAGCTGCCTGCATGTGGCGGTGGCTGAAACCCATCGGTGGAGAGGAGTGGAGTGGAGTGGCGGCGGCGCGGTCAGAGGCTACTGGCCAAGGAAGAAGAAGGGCTGATATTATAGGATACAGGTGGGACCCACGTGCCAGTGGAAGTAAAGGGCACGAGCCCACCTGTCATCCTCTCTGACTCTGCTTGACTTCCATGGCGCGGTGCGACCGCGAGCGACTTCTTCCCGGCTTGCTGCCGGTGATGGCCGAGTAGAATCGTAGAAAGTGAGGGAAGGGGACGAGGATGTCTGAGCGCAAGTACTCACCTAGACTCCATGGGCGTCGTCGAGGAAGACCGTCTGCTGCAGTGCAGGGAAGATGAGAAGATCGATTCAATCACCTGCCACCACCGGTGCGGCAATATTCCTTCTTCAGGAGATGCTGCACCAATATAATGGCCGTTGGACTGCCTATACATTTGTCGATAAATTTTTCCCTAAAAATTTGATAGATGTAATTATTGTACAATCATAATGTAATTACGCTGTAACTTATATATAATTACACTGTAACTTGCATGTAACTACATTGTAACTTATATATAAGTTTCACATAATTTTGAATTATTAGATTTATTACAAGATTTGTTTTGGTGAGGAAGAAAACAAATCATAGCACACACATATATGAAAGAATTTGTTCCCACGACCTCCATTTTACCGAAATAACATGTTACGGAGAGATTTTTGAAAGTTATATATAAGTTACACTATAGTTACAGTGTAATTACATGCAAGTTACAGTGTAATTACACTACGATTGTACTGTAATTACATCTGTCAAATTTTTGAGGGAAAATTTGTCGACAAATATATAGCAAAATCGAATGGGCGTAAACTGTCACCTCCTCCTGGCAATCGATGTGCCTGCATCCGTGTCCGTCGTGGGTGGTTAGCGCCCTGCAGGAGGACGGAAAAAAAAGTGGTGTGGCATATGGACTAGGTCTTGAGACCGAGAGGACACACAAGAATTTCAGCAAGTCTACGTTATGTGATTATGTCAAGTTGTCAAAACGGTAAATTCAACCTGGAAACAACCACTAAACCACAATTCATCTACATAAATGCATAAATAAAAGGGTAGGCACTGAAAAATACTTGAAAGAATAATGTTTCAGACTTTTAGCAATACATATATAATCGATAGATATGATAAATATATATAGAATATGCAAAAGAAAGAGTAAAGATGGATTAAAAGACTACCTTTAACATGGATTAACTTAAAAAAAAACAAGTTGAATTTTTTAGATGGCCTTTACTCAAAAGAGCTACAACCAATTATTACATAGTAGCAATCAAAAACAGAGTGTAAATCTAGAGAATAACAAAGAATCCAGCCTAACGTAAGGAGATCACAATTATTGAAGTCTATTTGTAAATCTCCAACCATAATTGATAAAAAGTTGCATAACCGTAGTCTCTAACTTTCGACGTGCAACTTTCAGAAACTCTTCATCTTCATCACACTTTTGTAGTTGTGCCCGAAACCGGAGTCAATATGTTGCCCTGAAAATAACCTGCATATAGGAAAATGATGGTGATTTTTCAAAAACCATATCGTTCCTACTTAGCCATATTGCCCAACAAATGGCAGAAGCTCCAACAAGTATCAGTTTACTCTTTTTCTTATCAATTCCCAAAAGCCACCCATTAAAAATAGAGGTAAGTTCATCCGAGGTCCCTTAACTTGTTAAGGAATCCGACTTTCGTCCCTCAATCGGAAAACTAGACACAACGGGTCCCTCAACTATTAAAACTGGTGCAGATTAGATCCCTTGGCAGTTTTGAGAGTGGTTTTGGCTGACGTGGCGCCTACGTGGCTAATTTGACTCGGTCTTCATCTGACGTGGCATTGACGTGGCGCTTACGTGGCAATTCGATCAGGAAAAATAATAAAACCGGTAGGACCCACATGTCAGTTTCACACACAAATTAATAAAAATGGTGGGGCCTACGTGGGCCCCACATATCATGCTCACCCCTCCTCTTCTTCCTCCTCCCTCCCCATCTCTCCTCTCTTCGTCTCTCTCCTCTGCTCTCTCCAGGCGACGGAGAGGCAGCGGCGGCCGGCGGCCGGCGGCCGGCGGGAGAGAAGGGAGCGGCGCGCAGCGGCGGAGGCACGGCTCCGGCGGTTGTGGGCAGAAGAGGAATCGGCGGCGGGAAGTGGCTCTGGCTGCGGCGGCCGCGGTCGCTGCACATGCTCGACCCCTTCGCGGCCGCTGCCGCGCCCGCCGCTGCCGAGGCTCCGTCCGGGGAGGCCGCCATCGCCGCTGTCGGAGCGGCGGCGGAGGAGGCAACCCCGACGCTGATCGACGCCTCAGCAAGCTCAACAACCACCTTGATAAGATGCTGAAGTAAGATTTCTCATGTTATGGCAAAAACTGAAAATTGATTCCACAACGCTTGATGCATTCCTTAAAAAAATGTTTGAATTTTCTGTTGTTGAAATCGATCATATTTTTAATAACTTTTTGGTTCTGGTATGTTATGTTCCTTTTGAACAGAGACATGGAGGAATCATGGCTGGGGCCATGGAAATGCCTTCTCTTGGGATACGAATGTACGATTTAACTGACCAACACATTGAGGCAGCTCTGACAAACCTGATTGCTGGTCTGGAATCAGAATACAAATTTGAAGTAAATCCAGTGCTCATCAAGGTCATCCTTGGTGGTGCTATGTCAGTGGATGAAGTGCAGGACTGTGTTTCTCAACTTATATCGTGTAAAGGCTATTTTGGCCGAGGAGGGTGTTGTGGGAAAGACAGACTTAGAGCCTTCTCTTCTTGCTGTATTGAGTCTGAAGCTCTGGAGACAGTCGAATGCTTAATAAAAAGTACAGTGAATGAGCTGAGTGAACCAGTTGATAGAGATCCAGGCATTTTTGTTCTCGACGAACCTGCTGCGGCCACGGCCACGACCACGAGTCCACGACGACACTTCCGCTCCCGAGATACTGCCACGTAGCGAGCCCTCCGCCTCCAGTCCACGCCGGGGTCGCGGGCTTGGGCGACGAGCAGCAACTGGAGCAGCTGGCGAGGGTGCTCTCCTCGCTGTGGTACAACGAGATGGCCTCCGCGGCGCCGCTCCTCGCCAACTCAACGTTGCTCGCGGCGTGGCCAGGGTCGATCACCGTCTTCGCGGCTCCCGACGTCTTCCTCCGCTCCTCTTGCACCATGTGCTCGCGCCGCCATGTCCTACTGGAGCACATCGCGACTAGATAAATCATTTGTTGCCACGAAAAAAATCGTGGCATCAATACTAAAATTGTGGAAATAGATACATGTTGCCACAATTGTAAAATCGTTGCTAGCCGTAGTAATAAACAGCGTGGTAATAGGTTATTGCAACGATTTTTATTTTGTGGTAATAAATTTAGATGTTGCCACGGAATGGATGTGGCAAAAAGTCATATTGCAACACTTCACATCGTTGTAATAAAAATTATTGCCACCACTCCATATGTAGCATTAGTTTTACGTACCAAGTTAAAAGTTCAAATATTAGTCTATCATCCTATCTATTTATCTACTCTTTTTTTTTGATTTTGTGTCTTGGCTAGGATTCGAACCCAAGACCTGTCCTTCAGGTGTGCTCTCCTTTACCAACTCAACTACACATCAATTCTGTTCGAAAATGCATATAGTTCTATTTGAGCCTAGCTAACTGAGATTTGAATCATAGATTTGATATCTAAAAGATTTCAAATGAAAAAGTTATCACCTATAAAATTGTAGATCTCGTCGAGAGCTATAATTTCCATATAAAATTTGTCTCAATCCGTGTCCATATGAAAAAATAAAGTTAAATTATGAGATGGCAATTTTTTTATTGCAACAATTTTGTTGATCATGGCAACAAAAAATAGTGAAAAGTACTGTGTACTATATAAATTGCCACAAAAATAAAAATTGTGGCGATAGAACATGTTTTTTTGCAACAGTACGATTTTTCGTGGCAATATCTCATTTTCTATTGCAACAAAAGTACTAAATAAAACAACGATTGTAGATCGTTGCAATAAAAAATAATTATTTGCCACAGAAAAATTATCATTGCAATACTATAATATATTGCTACGAATTATTTTTTGTTGTAATAATTTGGTGGCAATAGCTCAATTATCTTGTAGCGCCCTGGGAGGGAGGAGGAAGAACAGGAAGGGTGAGTTCTACTGACATGTGGGGCCCACGTGGGTCCCCCATTTTTATTATTTATGTGTGAGATTGACATGTGGGTCCCACGGGTTTTATTATTTTTCGGGATCGAATTGCCACGTAAGCGCCACGTCAATCCACATCAGATGAAGACCGAGTCAAATTAGCCACGTAGGAGCCACGTCAGCCAAAACCACTCTCAAAAACGCCGAGGGATCTAATCTGCACCGGTTTTGATAGTTGAGGGACCCGTTGTGTCTGGTTTTCTGAATTAGGGACGAAAATCGGATTCGTTGACAAGTTAAGGGACCTCAGATGAACTTATTTCTTAAAAATATGAGATATGCTAACTGGAAGATTAAAAACCAAAAGAGAACTGAACTGCTATCCATATGAACTTCGCAAAATGACAATTCACATAGAGATGTTGAATAGACTCATTCTTCAAACAAAAAGAATACCTCAAGCTGCCATTCCAGTTACGCCTTGCCAAATTATCCTTAGTTAACACAACCCCTTTAAGCAAGTACCACATGAAAATTTTAATCTTAAGTGGCAACTTAAGCTTCCAAATACACTTATTTCTCTCGATATAGCCATTATTAATTAAAGCTAGGTATATAGACCTCACCAAGAACAAGCCATTCTGATGGGAATTCCATATGAAACTATCAGACGAATTATTCAACTGGATATGTACTATAGAGGCACACAACTCATGCCAACAAACAAGATTCTGATAAACTAAAGCTCTCCTAAAAGAAACATTAAGCGGAACAGATCCCATAACAGTGGCAATAGAGTATGTTTTCCTTCGGACAATAGTGTATAACGACGGATATTTATCCTTGAAAGCCAAGTTGCCTAGCCATTTATCTTCCCAAAATCTAATTTGTTCCCCATTATTAACAATCCAAGAGCCCATATTTAAGAAAGTACTTTTGACATTCATAAGACCAGGCAAAAAATAGGAATCCCCTTGTTTCCTATCAACTTGGGTTATAGACTTATTATAAAGATATTTCCTCTTCAATAAGTCATGCCAAACCCCTTCCTCATTAATTAACTTAAACAATCATTTACTTAAAAAACATTTATTTTGTATCTCCAGATTATGAATCCCAAGACCCCCCGGTCCTTGGGTTGACAAACAACATCCCACCTAGTGAGCCTGTAATTTTTCTTATGATCATCCCCTTGTCAAAAGAACCGCGATCTGTAATAATCAATTTTACGAAGAACCCCTTTCGGCACCTAAAAAAAGATATCATAAATATGGCTAAACTTAAAAGAACAGAATTAATCAACACCAATCTACCACCAACAGATAAATGCTTGCCTTTCCAACTACTAAGCTTTTTCTCAATTCTCTCTTCAATAAGTTTCCAATCTTTACTAGTAAGCTTCCTAAAGTGCATCGGAATTCCAAGATATTTAAAAGGAAAGGCACCTAACTTACAACCAAAGATACCAGAATATTGCTCATAACATTCCTTTGCCTGACCAAAACAAAATAATTCACTCTTGTGAAAATTTATTTTTAGGCTAGGTAACTTTTCAAAGACAGATTAAATCAATTTCAGATTCTTTGCCTGTTGCAAGTCATGCTCCAAAAAGATGATAGTATCATATGCGTATTGCAAGATAGACAAACCATCGTCAACAAGATGGGGAATAATCCCATTCAATAGTCCCACCTCTTTAGCCATCTTGATCAATAGAGTAAGCATGTCAGCTACTATATTAAAAAGAATAGGAGATAAAGGATCCCCTTGCCTAAAACCTTTGTAAGTTTGAAAACAATTACCAATTTGATCGTTAACCTTTATACCAACATCATCGCCTTGAATAAAAGATGCTATCCACTCACACCATCTAGGAGAAAAGCCTTTCATTCTCAAAGTTTTTTGTTGTACAAAAGGCCATTTAACTTTGTCATAAGCTTTCTCAAAATCAATCTTAAAAATTACACCGCTTTTATCTTTGCGATGTAATTCATGTAAAGTCTCATGTAAAATAAGCACCCCTTCCATAATATTTCTCCCAGGAATGAACGCTGTTTGAGTAGGACTAATTACCTTTTGAGCGATATCCATTGTTCTATTTGTAGCAATTTTGGTAAAAATCTTAAAGCTAACATTAAGTAAGCATATAGGTCTATACTGTTGAATCTTCATAGCCTTAACACACTTAGGCAAAAGAATGATAGTACCAAAGTTCAGCGAATATAAGGGAAAACTCCCAGAATGAAAGTCCTTAAACAGTTCTAAGAGGTCGAATTTAATGACATTCCAGAAAACTTGGTAAAACTCAGCAGGAAATCCATCTGGACCCGGAGCTTTGTTGTGTTCCATTTGGAAAATAGCATCCTTAACCTCATTTTCAGTAAAATCCTTAGTTAAGGCTTCATTCTCCAATTGTGAAACTTGAGGAATGTCAGTAACATAATTCTCATCAAACTGAAGGTCAGACTCATCAAGAGGGCCAAAAAGACCTTTATAATAAGTGGTAATATGTGACTTTAAATTGGCATCACCACTTATGCGACTTTAAAAACAAGTTGAATGAAACGTAAAACAGTAAAAGCATACTGCTCGACAACTACTAGACTACCTGGTGAAATAGCTCTTCAAATCTACAAACAAAATTACACACATGTGAATCAATGACAAATTGTGCATTAACTTTTGCAAATTGCAATGTTTTCACTTGTCATTTGTCAAATACTCAACAAATGTTATCTTTTTAAGATGCCAAAGCCTTTCCTTTCCCCTTTCTATCCATTTGTGCTGAATCGGGCCAGTTGCTTTGCTGCCTTGCCCTTGCTGACTTGTTGGTGTAGCTGCCCTGCTCGGCTTAGAGCTGGGTTGCTGCGTGCAGCCCAGTGGCGGACACAGGATTTTGAAGATGGTGTACAGAGTTATCAAATCGTTGTTCCATAAAGAAACTAAAGCTTAATAGTAGGAAAAGTAATGAGAAAGTTTTTCTTGCTAGAACAAATAAAAATAGAAACATTGCAAAATAGCTAAAGAAAAATTAAATCTTGGAGAAGAGATAGTATGTTTTCATCCCAAACACTCCATAGAGATTTTTGCACTACCATTTAACTTTTTGACTGCTCTACCATATAAATTCAGATATGCACATTAATCAAATTTCCTAAAAGCAACCATCAATTGAATCAAACATTAACTACAGAAAGATGAGTTAGGAGCCTAAAAATATATATGATACGAACACATTCAACCCATTGAGCCATGAGGTTGCTTCTCCAGTGCAGTGGCTTGTCGATCAGCTGCTTGTTCTCGGCTTCTCTCCGTGACCACGAGCAGCGCCTGCACACGGCTGCCATTGGTTGGTTGTCCCAAACCATAGGAAGGCATGCAATATGCTCGGTATTCTGGTTGTAAGCCCCATAGACAAACCAGAGATTCAGGGTCATGAGACGAGATCGAGGAGCTTGTGTTGTTCTGCCAGAGCCGTTTTCTATGAGTTGTATTGTGATTTTAGGCTAAAGAATAGCTGTTTTGACCCAACTAATGATATATATAGGTAATATACCTATTAATTCAAAGATTATTAGTCAAAAATTTTGGGGGTACAGATGTACCCCCATGTCCCATGCTAGGTTCACCCCTGGCGCAGCCGTGCATGCCAGGTGGCACCGCGACACTAGGAGCAGACGAGCACCGCCATGCCGGCCTGCAGCCTGCAGATGCT